ATGTAATTTAATAAAAATCGAAATCCAGAGAGACTAAGGCACAAAAATCCAGAACTGAAAAACTAGACAAGACAAACTTGGTAGAGACAATGGACGGACAACAAGTGGGGAAAAGCACAGGGTATATATACACACACAGGAGACACAGGTGGATCACATTAGGGCGGGGCTAACAATCAACAGGACACACTGGAATCAGGAAAACTCAAAATACAAGAGAACTAAAAGTAAATAAAACCAGGTTAAAATAATCCAAAAAGTCCACACCATGACAACCACTTTACTAAGTCAGATCTGTTGTCATCACCACAAAACCAGGATGAGAAGACAGAAAAGAGTCATAGATTATCAATAAAGTCAATGTGGGATTGTGTTACATTAGCCCTCTGACCTACACAGGATTAGGAGACCTGAGATCTGTTTGTCTGCACATAATGTAGGCCATCATGACAAACTGTTACTCTCTACAATTACAAATAGATTATTAGATTTTGACTATTTTGTCTGCTCATTTTTAGTTACATGCTTAAAGAAAAACTGCTTTCACTGCTTCATGAATAAAAACTGCTCTCATAAACCACACTCCATTTACCTACTTTGAATTTATGTGTAATTTGTGTCCAGAGCTGCCCATGGGTCCATTTTTTTATTATTTATTTTTAAACAAACTGATTACTTAAATTTTACTCTCATAACTTAAATTTGGACACTCATAAATATTTCAATTAATTCATCTTGTGTTTGAGGAGGTAATGAGCTATTGTGTTCTCCAGCCTGATTCCCCAGGCTCCAAAGGGTCCCACCCCCACAACTTTGTCATTCTGGGGTTTCCTTCCAGTAGTTGTCTATTACCACACACCAACGTGTTTTAACAACGTGTCGAGATGATGATGGTATCTGTGGTGCTACATGCGTACAAAATGATCTTGTTATAAACAGATACAAGAAATGTGTCCCTTGGAATGAGAAAATAAAGCAACATTTTCTGAAATAAGACTGATTGGTAAATTAGCAAATCTTGTTTTAAGACAGTGAGATTGTTCCCATATTAAGATAAAAATTCCTACTACCTCATATTTTATTGTTTTTTGCAGTGGTGTCTCATCTGTGCCCTGAAGCGTCCTCTCCACAAACAAAAAATAGTTTGTGATAGCATTTTAACACTGTTTTTTTCTCTTTTTACATGTCCAGAACCAGAAGCTAAAGTAACTCCAGTCTGTCTGCATATGCTGGTAAGTAATTGTTAATACAGCATTTGTTTACATCAGTATCCCAGTCAAATATTGATGTGCGGTAAAGCTGAGGTTTGTCTGTTCTCTGCAGACGTAGGCCCATTTCAGAATTTCACCTTTTCTCTGTCTGTCTCTTTCCCGGAGACTCTGTGGTCATTAATCTTCCGCACAGGTGCAGAGGACTTCTGACCTTCTGCTCCACTTCCTCCATTAGCACTGTGACAACTCAACGGTAAGGTTCATATATTGCCATATTTCCAGCCGTCTTATCCCACACTGGTTCCCACCCCTTTTGTCAAAAATACAAAAAACAATAATGTTTCCCAAAAATATTATTCAAAAACATACCAAGAATACATACATTATTAAAAGAAATTTCAGTGTTGCATAACCAGTTACAGAACAGTTGGTGTGAGGAGCACAAGATAAATTAACTCTATAGTAACTAAAATAAAACTAAATGAAATGTCTAGCTTTAGCATTAAAAACGAGCAAGTGTAAAATAAGGGAGCAATCTTTAAATCTCCAACTTAAGCATAATATAGAGAAGTAAGAATTATGTACAAAATCTCTGAGTTTAGCATAATAAAGATGTATAAAATCTCTACCGTGGCATAATTAAGAAGTGGCACGGCACGGTGGCTGAGTGGATAGCACTCTCGCCTCTCAGCAAGAAGGTCCTGGGTTCGAATCCTGGTCGGACCAGGGCCTTTCTGAGTGGAGTTTGCATGTTCTCCCCGTGTCTGCGTAGGTTTCCTCCGGGTACTCCGGTTTCCCCTACCACTAAAAATATGTCCAATAGTTCTAGCATGCGCCTCCTGTACTGACCCTGCTCCCATCTCTGTGTGGAGTGAGAGACAAGTGCCCAATATTAACAATTGTAAACCGCTTTGAGACTCAGATCTGCAGTGAAAAGGCGGTATATAAATAAAGATTACTTACTTACTTACTTACTTAAGAAGTATAAAGTATGTATATTCTAGTGCAATAGATATATAGTTGTTTGCATACATCTGTACTGCAACATGAGGGTATGGGAAAAAGTGAAAAGTCCACACATGTGATTCCATATTAGTTTTCTTTGCTTAATTTGTAGGCCATGCTGTATCAATATCAATCAATGTATGAAATGTAAGTCAGTTAGGTCTTTTATGCAGATAATATTCATGGACTAGCGTAAGTCTATGGGCGCCATGTTGTGAGGTCTTAACCCGGCTGCTGGAGAGTCTGGAGACCCCCACTGACAGCTGGCCCACCTCACACATGTCCACATCCTCACATACCACATCACAAACTGGGCTTCAGCACATGCAGCATATGCAGGCTCCCCGTGCATCTTCACATTATCGCAGACGCCCAGGCCTATGGCAAAATCACAAATGTCATCGCTGACGGAGAAAGGTTACAGCAAAACTTAGTGCTCCATACCCTTAATTTGCTCCCTCAGGTCAAACCAAGTGATCACTAACTCTCCAGACAAATCTAAATACCACATACTTAACCAGACAGCTGTCAGGTACAAAATATAAAAAATAGAAAATGAAATGCAGTTTGAAATTCAGATTTAATTACATTGTAATTTTAGGATTTTTATACTCTTGTCATTTTGATAAGTATAATTTATTGTTATGTATTTATTTATTGCAGAAGTTTTTTACTTTATTTGAGTACATTCTTATTTCAAGAACTGTGACTTTATTTTCTCATTCTAAGAGATATTTCTTGTATCTTTTATAACAAGATAATTTTGCTTGTCCCATTGGCAAATCTTGTTTCAAGGCAGTCAAAACATGCTCAAATTAAGATACATTTTTCCCAAATTTGGGCAATTTTGGACATACAGTATTTTTGTCACTTTTTATAGTGTATGTATTCATTACACATACTTTTGGGCTACTCACTTTGTACAGTGGCTAATATGTGTATTCCTGGTGGTCTCTGTATCCAGACGGTGAGTCTGACTTTGAGAGCGCCTCACCTCCCCATCTGACTGAGGTCACCCGCTGGTATCGCAAGCGCAGCAGTCACATTGGGCCTCGGCGCAGACAGATTGCTTATAATAACTGTTAGAGACCTTTCCTTTTTTTTTCCTGTCAGCAATCTGTGGGATAATTTTGGCAGCCTTTAGGCCTAATATGGGGGTAAAAATAAACAAGCACTATATTGGGAGAACATAATCCCATTTACTAGTTTATATGTACTTTGGCAATAGATTGAAAGAGTGGATTGTGTGTCCATTTTTACTTCTAGACGACAAGTGCTTAGCTTTTAGAGCGGCAGGATGTCTTAAAGGGATGATATGTCACTGCACAAATTTCATTAGCAAAGACTTTTAGAAGAGGACAATTCCCAGTCAATTCATATACTATAACAAATAATAGCCAGGTACGGTTATTTCTGGCTGCAGATTACATCAGAGGTCTATTTTAATTTCCTATAGAGCTGTTAAAAAAGTGTATTTATCGATTGGCGTGGTGGAGTTTCTGCGTGAGCCCCGCATTCATCCATCGAGACACATCACGCATTGTCGTCTACCGGAGCGTTCATTTGTTCTTCCTCTTTGATTTTTAATAAACACCGAGTGCGATTAGGCTCCGGGAGGATGCAGATACTTGAGGTATTACGCAGTCTGAGAGATTAGACAAAAAAATTAGCCAGGAAAGTTTGTTGAGAATGGTGATGCATGGAAAAGAAATGCAAAGTGCTGATGATACAAAAAGACAGAGAAGGATTCAGCAAAGCTCCGAAGGACGAATGCTGAAGAAATAAACCATTGGAGGCTTCGCTTGAGTGCGTGGGGATTTAAAAAAAAAAAACAGGCCCAGATCAATACACACAAGGCTGTTAGCACTGATAACATCTATCCATTACTGTCATCACCATGTAAACACAACTAATTCTACTTTCACTAAGAAACAACGCTCAGATATAATACCATTGCCCCTTTCCCAGTTGACTTACAAGCACCTATTGATGGAAAGAACCACTCTAGGGTTCAGTTGAGGGGAAGATATAATATAATATCAATGTCTAACTTCCCGCCACTATTTCTTATGTTGTCTTTATGTAGCTAATATTTCTAATTTAGCACCGTCCGGGAAAAGTGACACAAGAAGCCATAAATTCCAGTCTAATTCCAAATAATTCCGATTACATGGACGAGTAGTTTTCAATCAGAAAGATAATCTGGATGATAGATGGTGGGATAATTGGCTGTCTCTGCCACGTAAATATTGTGTCGTTCTATTAATCTTGCCGAATGAAGTGTCAAGCTGTCACTCATTCGTCAAACTGAATTAGGAATGGAAGGGATAAATAAATGCACATGGGTTGAGAGGCTGTGGTTACGTGACTGGTTGGTTGTGTGGTTGTATGCCTGTGTGTGGGTCTATGCCTGTGTGGCTGGTTGGTGGTATGCCTGTGGGTCTATGACTGTGTGACTGGGTGATAGTGCGTTTGGGTGGTTGTGTGACTCTATCCCTTTGTGGCTGGGTGGTTGCGCGGATCTATGCCTGTGTGGATGGGTGGTTGCGCGGTTGCGCGGCTCTAAGCCTGTGTGGATGGGTGGTTGCGCGGCTCTATGCCTGTGTGGATGGGTGGTTGCGCGGTTACGCGGCTCTAAGCCTGTGTGGATGGGTGGTTGCGCGGCTCTAAGCCTGTGTGGATGGGTGGTTGCGCGGTTGCGCGGATCTATGCCTGTGTGGATGGGTGGTTGTGTGGCTCTAAGCCTGTGTGGATGGGTGGTTGTGTGGCTCTAAGCCTGTGTGGATGGGTGGTTGCGTGGCTCTAAGCCTGTGTGGATGGGTGGTTGCGCGGCTCTATGCCTGTGTGGATGGGTGGTTGCGCGGCTCTATGCCTGTGTGGATGGGTGGTTGCGTGGCTCTATGCCTGTGTGGATGGGTGGTTGCGTGGCTCTATGCCTGTGTGGATGGGTGGTTGCGCGGCTCTATGCCTGTGTGGATGGGTGGTTGCGTGGCTCTATGCCTGTGTGGATGGGTGGTTGTGTGGCTCTATGCCTGTGTGGATGGGTGGTTGCGCGGCTCTATGCCTGTGTGGATGGTTGGTTGTGTGGCTCTATGCCTGTGTGGATGGGTGGTTGTGTGGCTCTATGCCTGTGTGGATGGTTGGTTGTGTGGCTCTATGCCTGTGTGGATGGGTGGTTGCGTGGCTCTATGCCTGTGTGGATGGGTGGTTGTGTGGCTCTATGCCTGTGTGGATGGGTGGTTGCGTGGCTCTATGCCTGTGTGGATGGGTGGTTGTGTGGCTCTATGCCTGTGGGGATGGGTGGTTGTGTGGCTCTATGCCTGTGGGGATGGGTGGTTGTGTGGCTCTATGCCTGTGTGGATGGGTGGTTGCGCGGCTCTATGCCTGTGTGGATGGGTGGTTGCGCGGCTCTATGCCTGTGTGGATGGGTGGTTGCGTGGCTCTATGCCTGTGTGGATGGGTGGTTGCGTGGCTCTATGCCTGTGTGGATGGGTGGTTGCGCGGCTCTATGCCTGTGTGGATGGGTGGTTGCGTGGCTCTATGCCTGTGTGGATGGGTGGTTGTGTGGCTCTATGCCTGTGTGGATGGGTGGTTGCGCGGCTCTATGCCTGTGTGGATGGTTGGTTGTGTGGCTCTATGCCTGTGTGGATGGGTGGTTGTGTGGCTCTATGCCTGTGTGGATGGTTGGTTGTGTGGCTCTATGCCTGTGTGGATGGGTGGTTGCGTGGCTCTATGCCTGTGTGGATGGGTGGTTGTGTGGCTCTATGCCTGTGTGGATGGGTGGTTGAGTGGCTCTATGCCTGTGTGGATGGGTGGTTGTGTGGCTCTATGCCTGTGGGGATGGGTGGTTGTGTGGCTCTATGCCTGTGGGGATGGGTGGTTGTGTGGCTCTATGCCTGTGGGGATGGGTGGTTGTGTGGCTCTATGCCTGTGTGGATGGGTGGTTGTGTGGCTCTATGCCTGTGTGGATGGGTGGTTGCGCGGCTCTATGCCTGTGTGGATGGGTGGTTGTGTGGCTGGGTTTGAGGCTGTAGACTTGAGGAACAGATAAAAGGATGACAAATAGGAAGTGACCTCAGATCAATCAATCAATCAATCAATCAATCAGTCAATCTCAGATAGAACATACCCTTAGAATACACAGTTTAGACATAGAAGGGGGAGTTGTTCAGATATTTTTCCATTTTCTCCACACACCTTGATGACAGAATCAAGACGGCAAACACACTGGCGCATCAAAGCCCCAACGAACATATATTATACACGTTTAGTGTTTGGGGAAACCATTAGCACCCGTAGGAAACCGGGGGACCAGGTGGAAACCTACTCAAACACGGAGAACATGCAAACTCCACACAGAAAGCTCTAACCGCTGAGCCACCATGCTGTCACCGTGAGTACCATACACAATAGTCACACCAGTATTAAATCAATGGTATAGCTACAAAGCCAGTTTTCATCCATAGTCCCTCGGCTGGCAAATACATGAATTACAACTTACAGGCAGCTCAAGAAAATGTTAAAAGTCTAGAGGTTGCATGAGTTTGAGTTGAGTGTTAAAGCTGATCAGTGTCGGGATCTCCCGTGAGTGCAGAGGAAGACTGTTCCTGATGTTAGTGGCCCTCACAGAGAAAGTGTTCGGTCCAAAGAATATTAATTAAATTATCTTTATCAAAGCCTAATATTTAACCAATTCTCTCAATGCATTTACTGTAGTGACAATTCTAGTAGTTTTTGAACTTGTCCATAAAATACCTTTTTTGCAGTCGGTTGGATTTTTTATTGTATAAATGTAGTTTGTAGAATTCAGTATTCTTATTTCTGTACATGATGCTTCTAAAATGCCAACACAATTCATTTACTTGTATATCACATTTCATACACAAGCCAACTCAAAGTGCTTGTGTACATTTACATTAAACATTAAAATTACACATGGAATTAAAATGTTAAATATAATCATGTACATTAAAAAGAGTGACGATACAATCCTTCAATCTAAACCACACCCTGACCTTTGTTTCTGAGAATATTTACAAGGCTATTAAGTTACGAGTAAATAAACGGAAATGTAAAACTGTACGCATTTGAGTTCATTATGAATTTATTTAGCTTCAAGGTTGAAACTGATGCAAAAGTCAGATGGAAATCAGGTAGCGAGTGGATAATTAATATGTAAGAGGCTGTATTTTTATATCATCCAAGACATGATAAATATCTTATCTAGTCTTTAACCTGTAGGACAGGAAGATAAAAAATGCTGCAGTGACATGCTCCTAATTTAATTTATAAAGACCATAATTAACAACCTGCAGGCTGCCAGGGAGACCCCATTTCAGAGGCAGAACAGGAGGGGCCCCAGCTACAAGCACAAAGAGGAAGTTTTGATTCAATTCCAAATGAAATCTCAAATATCAGGAATCATGATATAAAGGTCATGTGTAATGGCGTGTCAGTCCACGTTTGAATACTTCATATTTCTTGTACAATACGCTCCCCCTTGGACTGCCACCTTAACGTGGTGGGGGAGTTTGAGCACTCGGATGATCCTGGGAGCTATGCTGTCTGGGGCTTCATGCCCCTGGTAGGGTCTCCCATGGCAGACAGGTCTCAAGTGACGAGTCAGACGAAGCGCAGTCCGAAGCCAACCATGGACAGCACGATAACGAAAACCGTGACGTCGCCCGGCATGGCGCAGCCGGGGCCCCACCCTGGAGCCAGGCCTGGGGTCGGGGCTCGCAAGCGAGCGCCTGGTGGCCGGGCCTTAGCCCACGGGGCCCGGCCGGGCTCAGCCCGAAGGGACGACGTGGGCAGTCCCTCCTGTGGGCCCACCACCTGCAGAGGGGTCCGTGGTGGCGTGGTGCAGCGAGGACTGGGTAGCAGTCGAAGGCGGAGACCTCGACGACCCAGTCCACACACCCAACATCTGGCTCTTGGGACGTGGAACGTCACCTCACTGGGGGGGAAGGAGCCCGAGCTTGTGGGGGAGGTTGAGCGATACCGACTAGAGATAGTCGGCCTCTCCTCCACACACAGCTTGGGCTCTGGAACCCAACTTCTTGAGAGGGGTTGGACGCTCCACTTTTCTGGAGTTTCCCGCGGGGAGAGGCGGCGAGCGGGGGTGGCCATTCTCATTGCCCCCCATCTCAGCCGCCACGTGTTGGAGTTCTCCCCGGTGAATGAGAGGGTCGCGTCCCTCCGCCTCCGGGTGGGGGACAAGTCTCTGACTGTTGTGACGGCCTACGGGCCTAACGGTAGTGCAGAGTACCCGGCCTTCTTGGAGTCCTTGGGAGGGGTACTGGATAGTGCACCGCCCGGGGACTCCGTTATTCTCCTGGGGGACTTCAACGCCCATGTGGGAAATGCCAGTGACACTTGGAGAGGGGTGATCGGGAAGAACGGCCCCCCTGATCTGAACCCGAGCGGTGTTCAGTTGTTGGACTTCTGTGCCAGTCACGGCCTGTCCATCACGAACACCATGTTCGAGCACAAGGGTGTCCATCAGTGCACGTGGCACCAGGACACCCTAGGCCGGAGGTCGATGATCGACTTTGTTGTCGTATCATCTGACCTTCGACCGCGTGTCTCGGACACTCGGGTGAAGAGAGGGGCGGAGCTGTCAACCGATCATCACCTGGTCGTGAGTTGGATCCGCTGGCAGGGCAGGAGGCCGGTCAGACCTGGCAGGCCCAAGCGTGTAGTGAGGGTTTGCTGGGAACGTCTTGCTGAGCCCCCTGTCAGACGGACTTTCAACTCACACCTCCGGGAGAGCTTCTCCCAGGTCCCGGCGGAGGAGGGGGACATTGAGTCCGAGTGGACCATGTTCTCTTCCTCTATCGCCAATGCTGCGGCTCGTAGCTGTGGTCGCAAGGTCTCTGGTGCTGGTCCCGGCGGCAATCCCCGAACCCGGTGGTGGACACCGGCAGTAAGAGATGCCGTCAGGCTGAAGAAGGAGTCCTATCGAGCAATGATGGTTCGTGGGACTCCTGAGGCAGCTGTCCAGTACCGGCAGGCCAAACGTGCCGCGGCCCGGGCTGTTGCAGAGGCAAAAACCCGGGACTGGGAGGAGTTCGGAGAGTCCATGGAGCATGACTATCGGTCGGCCTCGAAGAGGTTCTGGCAAACCGTCCGGCGCCTCAGGAGGGGAAAGCAGTTCTTTGCCAACACCGTGTATGGTGCGGGTGGAGGGCTGCTGACCTCGACTGGGGATATTGTCGGGCGGTGGAAAGAATACTTCGAGGTTCTCCTCAATCCCCCCGCCACGTCCTCCGTCCAGGAGGCAGAGGCTGAGGATGTTGGGGCGGACACTTCTATCTCCCTGGCCGAGGTCACCAAGGTGGTTGGCAGCCTCCATGGTGGCAAGGCGCCGGGAGTGGATGAGATCCGTCCTGACTATCTAAAGTCTCTGGATGTTGTAGGACTGTCTTGGCTGACACGTCTCTGCAGCATCGCGTGGCGATCGGGGGCGGTGCCAATGGAGTGGCAGACCGGGGTGGTGGTCCCTCTCTACAAGAAGGGGGACCGGAGGTTGTGTTCCAATTATCGTGGGATCACACTCCTCAGCCTCCCCGGTAAGGTCTACTCCAAGGTACTGGAGAGGAGGCTACGTCCGATGGTCGAATCTCGGATTCAGGAGGAGCAGTGTGGTTTTCGTCCCGGTCGCGGAACACTGGACCAGCTCTATACTCTCCATCGGATACTCGAGGGTTCATGGGAGTTCGCCCAACCTGTCCACATGTGCTTTGTGGATTTGGAGAAGGCGTTCGACCGTGTTCCCCGGGGTGTCCTTTGGGGGGTCCTCCGGGAGTACGGGGTCCGGGGTCCTCTGCTGAGGGCCGTCCGGTCCCTGTATGAGTCAGAGCTGTGTTCGCATTGCCGGCAGTAAGTCAGACCTGTTCCCGGTGCATGTTGGCCTCCGCCAAGGCTGCCCTTTGTCACCGGTTCTGTTCACTGTATTTATGGACAGAATTTCTAGGCGCAGCCAGGGGCCGGAGGGGGTCCGGTTCGGGAACCACAGGATTTCATCTCTACTTTTTGCGGATGATGTCGTCCTGCTGGCTCCAACGAACCAGGACCTGCAGCATGCACTGGGACGGTTTGCAGCCGAGTGTGAAGCGGCTGGGATGAGAATCAGCACCTCCAAATCCGAGGCCATGGTGCTCGACCGGAAAAAGGTGCCTTGCCCTCTTCAGGTGGGTGGAGAGGTCCTTCCTCAAGTGGAGGAGTTCAAGTATCTCGGGGTCTTGTTCACGAGTGAGGGAAGGATGGAGCGTGAGATTGACAGGCGGATCGGTGCAGCGTGCGCAGTGATGCAGTCTCTGTATCGGACCGTTGTGGTAAAGAGGGAGCTGAGCCGAAAGGCGAAGCTCTCGATTTACCGGTCAATCTTCGTTCCCTCCCTCACCTATGGTCATGAGCTGTGGGTAATGACCGAAAGAACGAGATCGCGGATACAAGCGGTCGAAATGAGCTTCCTCCGCAGAGTGGCTGGGCGCTCCCTTAGAGATAGGGTGAGGAGCTCAGTCACACGGGAGGAGCTCGGAGTAGAGCCGCTGCTTCTCCACGTCGAGAGGAACCAGTTGAGGTGGCTCGGGCATCTGTTCAGGATGCCTCCTGGACGCCTTCCTGGGGAGGTGTTCCGGGCACGTCCCACCGGGAGGAGGCCCCGGGGAAGACCCAGGACACGCTGGAGAGACTATGTCTCTCAGCTGGCCTGGGAACGCCTTGGGGTCCCCCCGGACGAGCTGGAGGAAGTGTGTGTGGATAGGGAAGTCTGGGCGTCTCTGCTTAGACTGCTGCCCCCGCGACCCGGCAACGGATAAAGCGGAAGAAAATGGATGGATGGATATTTCTTGTACAGGTAAAACTTACAAAATGTTTCTGTATTCCAACTTACAATGTGAAACCAATATGTGATAAAGATATCATGATATGAAAGCGTTCCTGGTTGTTGGTTATACATTATTTATAATATTATGAATAGTTTTATATGAGGTTTTTTCAAGCTGTGAACCATAAAGGTATATCTCAGTTTGTGTGTGATGAGCCTGCCATCACACACATTGATATTAGAAGCATTTTTTAAAACGTATGTAGCTAAAATCTTGAACAGTATTCCTGAAAATGTGAGACAGGCTTCTACACTGACAATGTTCAAATCCAGGTCATAAACTGTTTAGCTGTGCATACAACTGAAGGATTGTATCGTTTCTCTTTTCAATGTCCTGTGATTATTTAAATGCCTTGAGTGATTGTTTTTATCTTAATTTGTTATGCACTTTGAGTAGCCTTGTGTATGAACTGTGCTGTACAAATGCACAAGCCTTGCCTTTCCTATTAGGTTTGCATTGTAAGTTGAATCACGGAAGTAATTGGACTTTTGAACCATACTTGAAAATTCCTGAGTAATAGTGTAGTAATAGCGTCGTACGGTGTGCTAATTGTGAATACTTAATGAGACATACCATCAGATGCACTCCTGACCAAACAGTGCGGCTACATCAGCGGGGCCATCTCACCGGGAGCCAGGTGAACCCAGTGTTGACGCGTGACAGATTAGAGCCTCTCACAGGATGGGCCGTCCATTTATCTGGCTGATAAACTGGAGCCGCACTCCATTTCAATCATCAAAAAGGAAATGAGATTAACAATCTAATGATGCGGGCACGCGCTCTCACACAATATCCCCACACACACAGTGTGCCGCAGACAAAGAGAGGCCCTGTGATTTACGATTAATTATTATTTGTAATATATCACAAAACAGGACATCTTTGTGGATTCCATTTCTTGTTTCCATTCTCTCTTTGCCGGGCCAGTTAAATCACAGCGCGCCGCCGGTTCAGAGGAGCAGAGCGGCCAAGCCATGTCATTTCGCCTCTCTCATTCCTCAGGCCTAAATTTATAGAGCAGGGCTTGTTTGGGATCGCTGTTTCCCCCCCGGTGTGGGTCAACCCCCCTTCCCCTCCTTCCCCTCCACCCGCACTGCCATCCCTGACGCGCATAGCAAGCATCCCAGGTCCTCGTAAAGCTGACATCTTCACTAAACTATGCTAACAAGGCCGTAGTGATTTGTATATGCACAGTGAGGCAGTGGTGGTGGCCCGCGGAAAGGGGGGAGGAAGAGCGGGGGAGTTTGTGTAGGTACAGCCGGGATCAAAGGGCCGCGCGGAGGTTGGGGCGAGCAAACATATACAGAGTTCCACAAATACATGCGTGTGCCGCGTTCACATGGTGTAAGGTGACAGTGTTGGTTCGTTCGCCGCTGAGAACAATGTGATTTATAGACGTCGGGCTGAAGGGCTGGTGCAGGTGCAGAGACAAGTGCACCAGCGATATATTACTGAGCTACAAACAGCTTCGGTGTCAGTGGGGGGTTCGTATTCTTCACATCACGTGAGGAAAATGACTGGGAACTTTTGCACATGTATTCCAATGTGGTTTTATGCTACAAAGGGCAAAAGCATTGAATTGAATTGACATGTCCTTATTAGTGGCATATGGAAACTCAAAAAATTAGAATATCATATGTAATGAGCTATACACCGTTTGGGTTTCACAGAAAGAAGGTCCTGGTTCGATTCCACCTCCAGACAGGACCATTCTGTGGGGAGTTTGCATGTTTGTGAGATTTCATAACTAGTTTCATAGCAACTTTTGTTAAAGTTAAACTCATCATTCTATCAATGTGCAGAAGCCACTACTTTTCCACTTCATGTTTTGTCTATCTGAAGGCCAAGCTACATGGCACCGTGGAAGCTGCTGATTGGAGGTCTCCATGCCTCCGCTCTGTATAATACACTTGCATTCTGTGTTCGTGTTGTTCGTGCTGTCTCTACCATCGACAATAAAACATGTCTTCTGTCTGAATGAAAGACGCGATCACAGACTTTGTCATCTTCTTCAGGTGGTGGAAGGATGCGGGCCTTGTCTGTAACATCTAGTGAACTTTTTTACACAAAAAGTGTTTTTTTTTTTAAAGCCAAAACTGAGAAACCTCAAGAGAAACCATGCGTCTGGACCAGCACACTTGGACAATCTGCACAGCCCCTGATTCCAGTCAGACCTGCTGTGAGCTGCTGAGACATGGACAATACCATCGTCCTCTTTTGCATGGACATAATTTGGAACAATCCGGATTTCTGAATTTGGACATAATTTGGACTGAATTGGATTTCTGAATCTGGACACTAAAGCTGAAACGTGTGATTGAAATAACACGTCACAGAAGAATTCATGGCTCGACACAACAAATGCAGCCTGAAGAAACCAACACAGAAAAGTGGGAGAGACTGTTTTCAAAGCAATATCTGAGAACCACCATCGACTGATGAAGTTTGGTATTTTACTGAAGATTGTTGACAAGTTTTATGAAAGATCTGAACATGTTTTATGAGTTTTCTGAGTTTTTGAAGTATTCCGAGTTCTGAGTTTTTTGAAGTACAGAGTGAAGTACCGAGTTTAAGTAATGAGTTATGATGTTATGTTGCTGTTTATCGATCCTGATGGTCACACGTGAATGTGTGACCAGAGGGGGGAATGTGAGATTTCATAACTTTTGTTAAAGTTAAACTCATCATTCTATCAATGTGCAGAAGCCACTACTTTTACACTTCTTCTTTTGTCTATCTGAAGGCCAAGCTACATGGCACCGTGGAAGCTGCTGATTGGAGGTCTCCATGCCTCCGCTCTGTATAATACACTTGCATTCTGTGTTCGTGCTGTCTCTACCATCGACAATAAAACATGTCTTCTGTCTGAATGAAAGACGCGATCCCAGACATGTCATCTTCTTCATGTTCTCCCTGTGTATCCGTAGGTTTCCTCCGGGTGCTCCGGTTCCCCTACCACAAAAATGTTAACAATGGAGTACAATAGTGTGTGTTTATGAGTGCGACTGTGGAACTACAGATGGAAATTAGCCACAAAAGCCCTTATTGGTGTATTTACAAATCCTGCTGTTCATTATCACACACTGTCCCATCCAAATAAATGGGATAAATTATTTTGTTTCCGATTAATTGAAATAATAATTGTGCAACTAATCAGTTTGCCAAAACATGTGGTCTAGTGCCTGTTTATTAAGGGATTTTTATTTATTGTTAAGAGTGCCTGGGATTTATATTTTTCTCAAAAAACTAAACAAATATTTTTGTAGCAAATAATTGTTCTAGCCCTACTTGGAGTAGAACAAACTAGGAGAAATTTTATTAAAATCCCTTTCTACGATTCCTGATTACTTGCAATGAGTAAGATTTATTTGTTGAAGTCAACATTATAATCTGTTCTGTGACGCTAACGAGCCGTGTTTGTTGTGAGTGAAGCTATGTCTATGAAGTGTCTATGAATACTTGTGCTGTCCTGGCCTTTGATTGAAGAGCCTGTGTGTGCGTTTACTGTCAGACAGGTGAGGCCCAGCCGTGACCCCAGCGCTGCTAATTTAAGGACCACACAGTTAAAATTATATTACACTTCATTAAAGCGCACCTCTCTTTGATCAGAGCGGAGTGACATTCAAGAGGCGGCAGTTAATAAGTTCATTCTGCCGGCCATTCCTAAATTGGTATATAGAACATCGCCGGAACGTTTCTGTCATGATGAAAACACCTTTAACTGCTCTAATTATAGAATCACTTTGTTTGACATAAACACCTTTCCTTGTTTTTCAATCTGTACTATTTCAATTCTCATACATTTATTTTTGTATAGCCCTAAATCACAACAGCAGTTGTCTCAAAGGACTTAACACAGTTGTCGATTCACCAAGAACAGATCATAATAAGACATAGGAACCGTTGGTCCAAATGGAGCCGGATGGCCACTGTCCATAAATATGAATAAATGTTCCGTATCATCTCTGTCCTTAGACCCTCCTGCATCGGCAAGCAACAACAACTGGTCATACAGTGTCGTTTTACATGCCACATTTTAGATAAATATGTTTATGTTTTTCTTGTATTATATTTGTCATACATTTTAGTTTCAGTTTGCATCTCACTTCATTAAACAAGACGAGGGAATCTTTGAGACACCGACTGGTCCACAAACAGGGCTCTTTAGTCCAGATTGAAAACAACAACAAACAGCCTAACCTTGTAATGGTGCGGCGCCGTGCCAGAAGGTTTCCTCAGGACTTATACTTCCAGCCGACATAGCAACAGGAACGACAGCCACCGTTTTTCATGCATGGTGCAACCCGCTGACGGACTTTGATCACATCATGTCAGGCTTCTTATAAAAATTCTGAGGCAATTGCACTTGATAAGGAATTGTGTTCTACGATTCAAAGATGTCTCTTTTATGAAAAATTTAGATTCTGTACCCATCTAAAAATGCAAGTATCTTATTGCCGAACAACAATAGTTGCTTAGAAGTTGCGATGGTAGATAACTTTGTAATGTTTCCTTTCTATTTCTGTCTCCAGGGTCTACTGGAGGTGAGCCCGTGCTGAACCTCAGGGGGAGGTGTCATGTTTCGGCCTTCTGTCCCACTCGTGGCTGCGTCTCAAAGGGCTCTTTGATGAGCCTTTCATCGTGCACCTTACCGCCAAGAGCCACACCTGGCAGGTACACACCCACGAGCTCCAGGAAACACAAAAGGCACTGTGTCCTGCTTTATTGCAAATTAATGTCCTCTCCAAAAACACTTAGCATTCATAACACAGGAAGAAAGAAGAAAAAGGATATGGGGAAATTTGGAACATGGGTCATCACTGAACTAATCAGATCTCTTTCAGCAAGAGAGCAATTAAGCCTTATTTGTTTTTGCTTAGTCAACACTTATTTACAAAGTTGTGGTTAGTTACATTGAACATTGTAAGGCAGTAATAATGTACTCAAACTAAAGCCATGCAAGCAGCTACTGTTATTATTATATTTCCTTATGACATAGACAAGTTTGACCAAGCTCTCAGCCGTTCCCATGCACCTTGCACAGACAGTACAGGCCTTTCACGGCCCTGGCCCGTCCTGGGATCATCTTCTTCCTCTCTTATCTACAGTTCAAAGCCTGTTGATTGAATTATCTGTGTGCAGTAAGAGAGGGGAAACAACTGTCGGCGTGCCTCAGTCCACCGTTCCAACTCCTGCTGCTCGGTCCGTCTGGACGTGGACCAAAGTGCCGGTGTTTTAGGCTCTATGGATGTGAGCAGTGTCAGAAGTAGTTATTACGGAAGTTCTTGTGTTTGAGTGGCCACAGAGCACACTTGACCAAAGCGGGGATAGACGAGGTGTCGTGGAGACCTACAGGACTGACCTCTATGACTTGGATGCTGTCATGTAGGGAGATGAAGGAAATGAAAAACTAAGGATTTAATTAAAACAATGAAATAAAAGTCCAGGGGAAAAACAACTCCATATGAAAACTCTAAATGAACCAAAGGAACCAGAAAAACAGGCAAACAAAGACAATGGACCAGCAACAAGGGAAGAGGAGCACAGGGCACATAGAGACAGAGACACAGGTGAAACACAGGGCTGGGCAGGTATTCAAAAAGGGGAACAGGACAGGAAGTAAAACAACAAATGATAAAAATCCACTCCATGACAGATGTGTTTGTTTAAGATTCTTTTATAATCTCTTCTGACCTATTGACCATGTTACAGCTAGGGCTGTCAAACAATTAAAATGTTTAATCAAGTTAATTACAGCTTAAAAATTAATTAATCGTAATTAATTGCATTTTGAAATTTTTCTGTAAATGGTTGTTAGAATGGAAAGATAAATGACAACATAATGTACATATGTACTGTATTTGTTTATTATAACAATAAATCCACATAAAATGGCATTAACATTATTAACATTCTGTCTTTCTGTAGTAGATTTCTTCTTTTTCTGTCTCATAAAGGCTGTGGAAAAACTAGGTACCCCAGCTTGAATTTATATATTGTTCAACAGAGCAATTTTCTACTTTTCAAACAAAATTACTGCCAATACATTTGTTTCTCATGTGTTTGATGCTGATGAGTTGGAAGAAAACAAAACAAAAAACACCTCTCTTTGGTGGTAGTAAAAGACTCTTCATTTATTTACTTGTACTTGTTTTTCTAGAATTTTGACTAAAGATATTACTATTATTTTTTATCATTAATATTATGTAAATCATTTACAATGGCCAAATTAATGCATCATAGTTCTTTAAAATGTCTCCTTGTTTCTCCATGTGCACCATATGCGAAGTTTCTTGTGTTATATTTTGAGTTGTACGTGGGTGCAACTGGTGATTTCATAACTATAAGGCAAACAATAGTTTGCACATCATAGTTATCATTTTGAACATTAACATTTGAATTACAACTATGTTGGAAATGTCAAAAACGACTTTTGCATAATGTCCCTGAACATAATTCACTAAATCATAAAGTGCACAAAATACTTTAAAAAATGAAACCATCTATACCTGTTTTTTTACTTCCTTAGATGGAGTAATCACACTATTGGTTTTGTAGAATGAACATCACTGGTTGTTGGTGATAAAGATGAGAGATTCCAACTCCATTTAAACGTATGACATGCAATTATCTATCACGTTTTTTTTTATTTTAAACACGAGTACCATTTATTCAAAACCAGTGGTACATTTGCATGACTGCTTTAGCCTTGGCCCCTGCGCGCATCCGTCGTCCGTAGTGTAATGTTTTACTATTATATGGCTTGACCCTTATGGCCTGCTGGATACAGTTGATTTAAAGAAGGCCTGGGCTCTGCAGCTCCGCACAACTGCAGCCGGCCTCTCGTCTGTCTTGGCTCTCCCATGCGCAAGGTCATCGCATAGCCAGTCACGACACTCCAATTAAGGCGACTGATGGACGCCGCTAATTGGTAGGATTTATAACCTCCTTTTATTATGCTTTATGAGAAAGGCAAGTGGAGGGCATTAGCATTTATAGGCCCCAGGCTCCACACTGGATCACTGTCACCCCGCTGTCCAGCTCGTCCACCACACCACATCACGTTCAAAAGAGAGCGTGCCTGTGTCCTTCTTCATCCTCCTTCGAGCTTCGATCTAATCCAAAGATGTCACTTGAAATAATAAAAGCAAAAAATGTACCAAATGTAGGTGCCAAAAATATCATAATATAGTGTGAAACTCATGGAGGAAGGCACATGTAATGAAAGTGTGAATATTGATTGTATTGTCAGGGTGGCTGACCAGAAACCTGGGCACCAGTCCATCTGTGGACAATGCAGTCAGTTACAGCTCACTGCTCCGTCTAATAAAGAACAGGCAGATTGATGTCACCAGTGCGGCTGAACTCTAGCTAACACTCACCAGCATGGCTCCCTGCACACACTTCCAGCATGTTCCAGCATGTGGTTATGATAGGGCATTTCATTTCCTACTGGTCAGAACGGCTGATGGGTTAGTCATACACTAAACCCTCTGTACATTTACAGCACTACTGGAAAAGAGGGAGATTAAAACAAAATGCTTTTTTTTTGTTCAGACTGAAAACAACACTCTAACCTTGTAACGGCATGGCACTTGGCCAATGAGTTTTTCTAAGGACTTTTACTTCCTTCCTACATAGCAACAGGAAGCAGTTCCAATCATTTGACATGTGTGGAGCTTCTTACTAATGCACTTAGATTGCATCTAGACAGAGCTCTTTAAAATGTGAAGTAAGTGCACTTGTAATGAAGACACAGTGTTTCACTGCTCCTAGTTGTTCCTTGAGGAGGAAGCCTGTGCCTCCCCCTGAACATTTGGCTGCACTCATAGCCTCGGTGGCAGGAGTACGAGCGATTACTCCTGCGCAGCCAGCCAAAACACAAAAATCAATAAACAATCTCAACGTTTCTGAGGGCCTTTCGTCTGACTTAATAAATGTCTCAATCCACTGTTATGACTTCATTTTGCCTTAAAATCTTGTTCATGTGCATCTTTTGTCGATCAATTAGAGAATGGAGTGCCCCTTCTGTCACGACACCTGCCCTCCACCCTCAGCTGCGGCTCACAGACACGCAGTCCAGCCGCCCAGTGCAAGGTGAATGGAAGTTTGACACTTAAATGGCTCATTAGAAGCTCAAGCATCCCCACCAGTGCTCCGAGCGCTGGCCTCGCTAAAGTTTTTATTTAGTAATGCTTTTTCTGTCCGTTTCCTTTTCAGTCTTTGACCAGTCTTGTCCATCAGTCAATGTGGGGCAGCTCTTCACCGCAACCTCTCTCCACATAATAAGACTATATGTTTTGAAGAAGCATACAAGAGACACAACACACAGGCTTGACTATGACAACCACCACCTCTCCTCCAGCTCCTGTCAGTGGCCCTAATCCCGCCACTACAGAGATGACAGGTGAGTGCTGCCAGAGCCCCCTGGTCTGTGACTAGGAGCTCCAGGAGAATTTCACACGCGCACACCCCTCTCTTGTCTTCAATCGATTCTGCCACTTCCCATTATTGTCAATCAGAGCCACATTGTCTCCGCGGTTGGAGCGGTGCGGCAGGCAATTGCCCAGGGCAGCGGGGTGCATTGAGCGACCTGCCCTGTGCCTGCCAGCCTGTACATGGGGCTCGCCTCAAGAGGCTGTCTGGGCAACACGCCACGACTAAAGCCTTAAACTGTAGCCTCTTCGCTTTAGTGGAGAAGCAAAGGAACGTGAATCCATGCGGTACTTTGTGGTGCACACACTTCCATCGGGCTGTCAACAGGTAAGTGATGCTGCCCTCTTAGAAGTCAGCACCCAGTTAGAAAAATGACATAATACAATGGCAGAAATAATGGAACAAAGGTCTCGAGGGTGAGAGAGGCTCCTGAGGTTGTTGTGTTTGCGCCAGGTCCATAAGAACATGTCCGGCGTGGGCGCTCCTGACCTGCCGTGGTCAGGTAGGGGAACGCACAACAGCCATAAGCCCTGGAGATTGATGGGAGCACCGGCCTCCCGCTCACACTGTAAAAGATTATCCGCTCACACGCTGGAAACAAAGCTGTGATGGAAATTCGTCTCGCATCATCAGCAACAAAATATCTACACGGCCAAGCGGGAGTCTCTCATTTTTCATGGCCAATATATTAAATAAAAAAAGGCATTAAAGAAAAAATGAGAGTAAGGCAAAGGGGGCGGTCTGAGTGATAGCACTATTTAGTTTCTTTTTTTTTTAAACAGCCCACTTGAATCAAGGAGATTATAAGGTTTTTATTGGCTGTCAGGAAACACAACTTTCTGCGTACTTCACCCGCTCAAGCTCGTAACACCCTGATTAGAATGCCAGCAGAAATGAGAAGGGATAGAGGTGGGTGAGAGGAGACAGGAGAGCAGCGCGACAAGCACAGATGCCCCGGCTCCGTGCTCTCTTCAATACACAACACTGCTGACGCACAATAATATCAATGGAGAATTTATATAGCAAAAATGTGATGACAGGAACCACTCAAAACAGGGCCCATTCTTAACCGCATACATAAAACATAATAAGTAACGTTATCTTGGAGCGCTGCACTTGGGCGATATGTGAATTTGCTATTAGAGAGGGAACATGTGTCGAGATGAGGAAACGCTCAGGGGCACTTCCTTATTTTAGTGAATGCATTCGAACGGGAACTTGCCTCAGTCGCACTGTGTCACGGCTTTGATAAGGAGGTGATGGAAAGCGAGTGGTATGAAGATGTCTGTTGTAACTCACAGCTGGGGTCACCTACACAGGAGCGGGCGTACAGACTGCGTATTAAGTTGCGGGGAAAAAAAATCTCAGGCGTTTGATGAAATAATCAAGATTCAATTTGACGGAGGGGCTTTCCATCTCCACTGAAGCCACGAACGTGGCCGTGTTTAGGGAGATCGCGAGGTAGTCATTGATTTTTCACTCATTAACTTTGATGTGGAGATGTTGGCACCACTGATGAGCAGCGTCTTATTTAGTTTAGTCCAACGATAAACAGGAAAGGATGGAGAGACGGTTGGTCCAGAGAAAAAAGGAATTAACAATTTTTTAAGTCATGTCATTCAGTATTTGGTCCCAGATTTTGTTTTTTCTCCCTTTTATCAGTGAGATTTCACCAGAGTATTCACATATATAAAATAAATAAATAAAAGACAAACAATTACATTGCATTGTAAAGAGGATTCCTAAACAGAAAAGGACTCTCCCATGTTAACTTTTACTTATAAACTATCTGTATTATTAGACACAAAGTGTTAATAGTCAAAAAGACAAATAAGGGATTTATTGGACAGCATTTAAAATACACATCATAGTTTTATAAACACTAATGAAACGAGGCTGAGTGGCTGTTATACAAGCTGACAAAAACATGATAGAAAAATACAATAAGCATTGCATATACAGAGGTTTAAATTCTGTCATTCATCTTCTACATAAAGTGTGACACTGCACACTTTCCATCAGGCTAATCCTCTTTAGATCATTTACAAAGCAATTAGCCATGCCCCAAATGTCATTAAATATAAAAGATAACAACTGATGAGATAAGCTGTACTACATATGAAATGTGGATAGCTGCCTCAGAGCCCTGATCAGGGGGATGTATCTAAATCCTTCTATGTCAATCTGTGATTACTCAGTGGTGTACATATACTAAACATTCTTCATAAATTACATTAAACATACTTGACACGTTTTCATATAGTAGAAAGTATTAAGCATTACATCTGAAATAATATACATAACATTTATAGTGCAAATACTATAAAAGCAGTACCTCTGTATATATATCACAGCGATGAACAAAGCAAACAGAAACAGCTGCCAAAAACATGCACCATTTACATGTTTGACTGTGGGATGTCGTAACATTCACAGAGATAGTTGGGTTTAAGATATTCAAATTAGCTGGACTTCAGAGACTGTCAACATGCGTTTGTCAGCAGGAACCAGAGGGCTCCTTTTGTGCCGCTCTCTACTAAAACTTGGTGCTACACAAGACGAACAAGAAAGGAGCCAAAAAGCTAATTGCACGCTGCCCCTTGACCTCGGGCACAAAGGGGCTGCTCTGTGTGCAAATAGAGGAGCTTCAAACTCACTTTATGATTACATTATGTGTGTTGTTGCTCTTCACAACTCCACCAGCGCTCAGCGGCACAAGCACCCGTTCACAGAGCACGCATCACTCATTCACCGGCCTCCTAGGTGCCTTTGTCAGGTGATTGCTGGCAGAAAAAGGAAAACAGATCAATACATCTCCCATGGGACTGGCAGGTAATCTTTACTTGGGATGAAATATGAGTATCAGCTGGCTGGATTCCTTAACTGTAACAGGGCAATTGACTAGCTGCACGGAAGCTGCATGGCTGCTTCCTGGTCTGCTTCCTGACGTTAGGATTTATTCCGAGGTGAGCACTTTGGCTGTGACATAATGACTGTTTAGTAACTGTTAATTAACATGAAGTCAGGTCAGTGAAGTGATCTGATGGGTGCTCTATTAAAGCAGGCATGTGTGGACCAAATCCAGCGCGCAAAACCCTTGGTGGCCCCTAAAAAGATTTTCAATGATCATTATTACAGTAACTCGCAGCATTGATGGTACTGCCATACTATAGCTAGTTATACTTCAGTTTAAAGCATATTTTCTCATCAACACAACCAAATAGTTGAATTTGTTCTAAAATATTAACTAACATGTAATTAGACGTTTGGCCCAGTTGCGATCAAATCCAAACCTACAACATAATAATATCCAAACTCATGTCAAATCAAATGAATTTGTCAATACACATAAATGTAAAAAAAAAAGGAAAAAAAACAAGTAAACTCTTACTTTTGAAACCAACCAGCTCCTATGCTTTTAAACTTGACCTCTGACCAAAATGAGTTTGACACCCATGTATTAAAGTTAACTGATGGGTGATCTATAAGAGATAATAGAGTAATCTGATGACTCTCCTGACAATTTGGCTTGAAAACTAACTGAAGCCCAGAGACAAGTTGCTCTCTGAGTTTGATTTGTTGTAAAGGAGCGGCGGTTTAGAAGAGCAGCCGATGTACTCTGCCTCTCTACTTTGACTGATCCCTGTGTGAAGGTATGTCTACTGTGGGGCATCCATTTAGACGAGTGCACACACAGCATTTATAAATGTCATCCCTGGCCAACATGATCACATAAAGCTTTCCTAGACGGATTATTGCAGACATATAACTCACATTAATTGGCAAATCTCATTCTACTAAATGCGATTCTTCTCCGGAATGCAGCTTTTAAAGTGACCAAAACGACATACAATATGTGGCTGGTAATTCTGCAGTTGATTACACTAAAAGTTATCTCCTTCTCAGAACACTCGCTGCATACCAAGAGGCTTTGTCCTATGAAGACTTTAGATTTACACTATAGTTGGTTGGAGAAACGGAGGGCATAAAAATCTACTTGCTAGTTCAATTTAAAGTATTTGTAATCAGCTATTGTCATTTCTACTATCTATTGTACTCTTTCAAAGTAAGGAGACATGAATTATGCACAAGGAGAGTCTTTAGTCATCTCCTTTCCTGAATGAATAGAGAAATATTAGGGGTTTTAAATAGATTCTGGGTGTCTCTGCTACTGCCCCACAACCTGGCCATAGATAAAACGGAAGAAAATTGATGCCCAGTCTTATAGGAGGTATCCTATATTATTTGTTCACATATCTTAATATTAAAAGACACAATCTAATAATAACACAATAATAAAAAATAAATAAAAACATCAAGATTGATAATATGAGTCTTAAAGTAGTGGTGAATTCTTTCTGTGCAGACTCTTGTAGCTGTGTATGAAGAAGCAATTATAAATCATGCTAATGAGAGACCTGGACATTATATGGATCTCCACTGGTGATTGCCGCTCTGAACTCAAAGCAGCGTGTCGTAGCAATACATTCTGGCTTCAGTCTGTGTAAAACCATTAAGGAGAGACTGCCCTGACCATCCTCCCTCTGGTGTCCCTGCTGACAGACGCTGCTCTATAAAAGTGGCCATAATTGTTGGATTGTGTAGTAGCAGGTGGCCTGGAGACAGGAGGAGCTGCTGAGGCCTCTTGAATCTGTGTTCTTCCTCCAGGAGATAGGGCTTGTTAAAGTTGGCACTGATTGCATTACCATTTGTCAGGCTGAATATACTACTACAAAAATTCTAACAGTAACATGCTGATTTGAAGACTAATGATGAGCTTTGTATTTGCCAACTTTGGAAAGGAGGAGTTCTGTGCTTCTTTCACAATAGGTTTTTTTTTTTTTTTTTACAGTAAGTACATTTCCTTAAGGCTGTTGTAGACTCAGATCAATCCAGGTTTAATCTCTTCTGTACGTGCGGTTGGTCAGATGTGGCAGAACCTCGGATTGAAGTCGTTGAGATGACTGGCGTAGGATGACATCACGGGTTGTCTTTATGAGATACACTGCAACCTGCAACAAGACATTATTTAAAACATATCACAAAATCCATTTAATCTTCTCTAATTCTACAAATTTTAACTAACCCCATAACTAGATTTATATTAAAAGTTAAACCCAACACGTAATTTAGAAATAGTTAAAAACAAGAATAAATCATTGGTACGTAGGTAAGTAGTAATAGTAGTAATCCTGGTTGGAACAGGGCCTTTCTGAGCAGGGTTTGCTTATTCTCCCTGTGTCTGCGTAGGTTTCCTCCGGGTGCTCTGGTTTCCCCTACCACTAAAAACAAAAAATCCTCCAGCTTCGGTCCTGACCAAGCTGCGCATCAATAAAATAAAATAAAACTAAACTAACACTAAAAACTATCTTCATGATATATTTTAATATAAGGCAAAAAGAGCTTCAAACACACAGACAAATCTGTCCTTAAACTTAGACTTATGATTGTTTGATCGGGGCCCAATCCAAAAAGAGTTCAACATCTGAATTATTCCTTATCAAATTTCCTTTTCTGTTTATTCTAACTGGAAATATCATAAAAACCACTACCCATCTTTAGTCCACACAGGAACAATGTCATTTACTGTCTTACCTGGTTCAAACAAATCTGACCTGATCTCTCACAGAAAAGTTTGCCTGGGTCGCAAAAGACAGTTTTGAGGCCGTCTGGGGAAACGGGAGGAGGAAAGTAGAAGTGACATTGTGGCTCTGGGCTGTCTCACAGGATTAGGCATTACAGCGTTCAGTGGCATGTGCTTTTACTCACTCCCATTATATCTGCGTGTGCCTCTTTCCAGATGACTTCTTCTCCAAACTGATCCGGCGGTCAAGATAATTGATTAATATTTCTTGAGGGAACGATGACTAACTGTTGTTGAGCTTCAACCCAAACACTCTGGTTAAGCATAGTAAAAGCTTTGGATCAAATTTGTGCCCTTCTTTTTGCCTGACAGATCTGACATCCACAGGTCTGGCCTCAAGTACAAGCTCAAAGCCACAGCTCAGGGTCATGCAATGAAAACTTCTCAACAGCTTTGCTCTGGATTACAACAATATTTACACATTGCAAGCGTAAAAGGTTTACATTTTTCCTTAACTGATACACCAATGGCCAAGTACGGCCACATCAAGGTCATTAGAAAATGTAAGCAATTTTCTTTCAATGGGAAAATTACAGTACATGCGTTTACTATGGGTGATAATAATGGCAGACTGAATGGAACCATCTTAATAAGCTCTCGCTCTCTATAAACAATCATTACAGGCCTTTCTGAGCACTCCTCTTCCCCTGTTTATTAATCAGCTAATTACACATTGACAGTAATGGGCCTGCTGATTCCCGCACTTAAATGAACAGGGCTGAATAGCTCTTTAATGATTAGCCTTTGTGTTTCTCGCTCCCTCTTTTTCCTCTCCTTCTCTCTACCTCTCTTAGTCACACACACTCAAAACATTTAAATCAGACCTCCCAGCAAGATGGTTTGCAAACAAGCAAGTTAAAGAAGCAGCCAACAGCTCCAAGACCTGTGCGCAAAACACAAATGCAGTAATGTGTCTGTGAAAGCGTTCTGTGTGAGCTCAGCCTCCAGCCACAGCTAAGGCCGTCGTCAAAGTTGAGCTGAGCAGCAGGCAGGTGCAGTTTTCTGGGTTTTTTGAAGGACACGAACAGGGTACAAAGTGGAGCCAGAGAGGGCGAAATAGTGCGGTGGGCTGCATTTCTGTCAGCAGAAGTGATGGCTGAGTGCTGCCGTTATTTGTCTTGTGCTGCCACACGGCCCTCGCACCAGCCTGGGCATTAATGAGAGGGGGTCGGACCGCCGGGCAGGAACATGGAGGCCTCAGCCGCAGGTGATCTGTCACAGAGGCGTCTGCACTGGGGCACACACTGGGCACACGTGGACACGCCAAAAGCAACAGCAGTCCCATGGGGAAGCTCGAGCTCTATATTACAACCTGACACACACTTAAGTATGCAATAGTGTCTTCACTGTCATTTTCCAGTCCGATAAAGAGAAGGGCTTTTAACAAAACCGCAACGAGCAAGAAACATAGTGTTTAGCCTGGGTGTGAGATCCAGCGAAGCTTTTTATTGAAATCTTTATTCTTCATAAAGATTTCAATGAATGTGGCCATATCTGCATGCAGCAGTCCGATCCCATCAGACCACTGAAGCAAAGCAGGACAGGGCCTAGTTAGTGCTATGATGGGAGACCTCTGGGAACACCAGGTGACACAGAAGGCTGTAAAGTGCCAAACTGTCCTTAGGCAAGACACTTTACCCAAAATGCCTTGAATGAGTCTGGTGTGTGGGAGAATGGTTTGTGGTGGTGGCAGGGGCCGATGGCACATACTGGTTGCCTTGTTTCTGTCAGTGTGCCCCCGGTTAGCTGTGGCTATATAGTAATAGTTTATCACCACAGTATAAGGAATGAAAGAATATTGACATGTGAAGAGTCTTTGAGTGCGTCAAAAAAGCGCTTTTTAAAAACAATGCATTATATCAATAATTCACTAATACTCGTGATGCATAAGTAATAACCAACCTATGAGAACATTTCAGGAGTCACGCCATGGTCTAACACCGTGTCTCCCAAAGTGGGGTCCGCGGCCCCCAGGTGGGCCGCGGGAGGTCATAAAAAAAAAAAAAGAATAATATAATTATTTAATGTAAAATTTATAATGTTTTGTTTGTAATATTAAAATATTTGTGTTCATTATTTGACTTGAATAATCCACTGTAATCATTTTTGTATTACAATGTTTGTAGCAGAGGCTATTTCCCCAAAATAGAATAACCAGAAGAGCCTATTCTTAATGTTGTCTTCTTGGTTATTATTTTGGGGGGCCACGCAGACCCGTCAGATTTTTAAGGGGGCCTCGGTGTTACTGCCCACTAAACATCCGACGTCCACTCAACCTCCAGATCACGTCAATATCGCGTCGGTCGGTCGTGACCTTTTATTTACGTCCAAACGACGTCTGTGCAAGGTGCGCATCTGGACGTAAAACAATGACCTCCCATATACGTGGATATGACGTTCAATCCCGACCTCCCCTAGACGTCGAAAACAGGTCATCGGCCGACCGACGCAGTACGTCTTGATCTAGCAATACAATATATAGGCTGTGAAGCAATATAAGTGAACCTGACGGTAGTGTAGTGGTTAAGCAAACGTGTGCAGTCTTGGTTACGTGGGTTCGAGCCCACGTGTGTGTGTATTATTATCTTTATATATTTGTTTTGATTTTTAACGAACAATTTTTTCCTGTTTGGTTAAAGACTAATAAACACTCAACATAGGATTACGTAGTGGCTAATAATAAAACTTGTGAATGTATGCATTTGTTGTGCTAACAATCTCAAGTTTGCAAATAAGGGGTGAGCACTTGAGATTTTATGCAAATGCATGGGTTCACAAGTTTTATTATTAGCCACTACATAATCTTATGTTGAGTGTTTATTCGTTTTTAACCAAACAGAAAAATTGTTCGCTAAAAAGTGAAAAGTCAAAAGTTTTCCGACGGGGATTTGAACCCGCGTCGTTGCGACTGAAGTCTCATTACGCAACCACTACACCACGGCCAGGCATTTTTTCTGACTACTGTGAAAAATTAATAAATAACACCCTAAACAACCGACGCACACTTATGCGCCGCGCAAGTATAACTTATAACTTTACAGCCTGACACGTGAGTCGCTCGGTCGAGGACCTGTTTTCCACGTCTAAACGACGTAAGGTGTGCATCTGGACGTCAAGCAATGTCTTCCCACACGTTGATATGACGTTGAATCTGTATCTCTGTCACTGCCCTGCTTTATTTACTTGGAATCATCCTCTCTAGTAAGTACACAGTCTGCACAGTTTTTAGATATAGATGTATCATTTCCACATTGAAAAGAGTTGGAGACAGAAAGTAAGTTGTTTTCTCACGTATACGTGGATTTTGTTAAGTATATTTTGTATATTATCTGTATTTTGAATTGCCAGTGCATGAATCTATAATAATAACGGCTGGCACTGCTCAGCTGAAAGGGAGACACCTTTTTTTAGTTTTTAAGTTAAAGTTTAAAATATGATATTGTTTTTCATATTTCAAACTATTTTTAACACATTAGAATTCTTAGGTTAGACTGTCCAACAAAGTATGTGTTAAAAAAGGTTAAGATTCTTGAGTTTTAAAATAATAATTCAATTCTAAAATGTAAAGTTACTGTATATTTCACAATGGTTTATAAACTGCAAAAAGACAACAGTATTTAGTAAACTAAGTTTAAAAACAGGGAGATCAGCTTTAATATTTGGGACACTCCCATCATTTAGACACCTGTGATGTCATCAGTTGGAGTTGAGTTCAGGTGTGGGACCATGTGGGACCATAGGAGCACACAGATGTTACCTGCTGCAGAAAGAGAGTTTAATGTTCATGTATTGCTTTGTTTAATAAATTGATTTAATGTCTTCCCAGGTCTTCAATGTCAGAGACTTTCACTTCTTCTCACTGTGGCTGTTTAAATGAGCCACTACAGTTGTTATTTTTGTTATTGTTAGCTGCAAATATTAAATATCCATTCATCTGCTGGTAGCAAGCTAACTAACGCTTGCAACTCTATTCAATTTCTTACTTTTTCTTATAAACTTTAAAACCAGCCATATGTTTTAAAATACATTTACCTTTGCTAATGCAGTCAATTATTGTGAAATCCATAGAGTATAATTTCATGATTGTTGCAATAACTAATGTTCTGTGTGTATTCCTAATGTGTCATGTGTGTTTGAGTCTTACAGGTGTCAGACTGTGTTGAAGGTGTTCAAAGGTAAGAATCACACTCTCACACATTGATTGTTCTTCTGTATTATTATGTTGTTTTTAGAATAAACCATTATTTGGTGTATTCTCTTTGAAAACATCTATCTTTTTCTCAGATTGTTCAGCAACTCACTCAAGATGAGGGAAACGGGCAACAAGGGGAAAATGCCCCCTCGGAAATGCAACATGTGTAGAGTAATACAGGGTAAGTAGCTTTCAGGGCTCATTTGTCCATGTGCAAAACAAATGCACATTTGCAATTGTTTTTTACATGGAATTACTCCAATGACCAAAGCCTTATCCCAAGTTTCTGAGACGGAGTGTCTTCCAGTGTCTCGAGCTAGTGCAGTGCCAAGGTTTGTATCACATGGTGACGGATCGAGTGGTTTGAGGCATTAATAGAAAGTTATGTGTTGTTATATCACTTTGCCACATTATGTTGAAACTAAACATGTTCCACATTTTCAGGTGCTGTGCTTGGACCTTATAATGAGACTGAAGACCAAGAGAGGACACATGTTGGAACCTCAACATTCAATAAATGCATTCTTCTGCCTTTCAGATTGTGTTTTTACATCTGGGGAACCTAGAGTGTAGCTTGTGCCTGTTTTAATACTGATCCAAACATAGGCGCTACAATCATGTTTTTTAACTTTGGCATGAACTGTTCAGTACAGTAGTGTTCATAACACTGTGCCCTGTGTGCTTTAACTTGTACTTTGATGTAGAGAAACATGATTTTTAATGCAGCTCCATTTGCAATAATGACTGATATCCTTCTACTACAGTTGTTCTAATGATTTTTGAATGCTGTGTTTATCGTTTATTGCCCAGAGTCAGAACTAAACATGATAAAGCTGCATTTCAGATTCACAAGGCTAAAATCTGGAACGGTCTTCCTGGAAATGTGAGACAGGCTTCTTCTTTGACAATGTTAAAATCCAGGTTTAAAATACTTCTGTTTCTGCTTCAACTGAGAGATTTTATTTGTTTCTTTTTAATTTACAGTCAATATTTATAATTGTAATGCCTTGTTTGATTGTTTCTATCTTTTGTTCAGTGCTTTGAGTTTCCTTTTGTTTTGACTGTGCTATACAAATAAACTTGCCTTGCCTATTGCAAAAAGTATGTCTCGACCAGTGAGTGATTCTGCAGAGGTCAATAGGACTGTAAATGGACGTCATATAAACGTCAATATTTTGGTCATATAAGACGTCGAGAGGACGTCGGACCCGACCGGTTCTGTACCACATTGCAACCTTGAATGAAGTGGCCGCGACGTCATTTGAACGTCCAGATAACGTACAGATGACGTTGAAATGACATAGTTTTGACATCTGCTTGCTTAGTGGGAACAACGGAAAACGAACGTCATATAAACGTCAATATTTTGGTCATATAAGACGTCGAGAGGACGTCGGACCCGACCGGTTCTGTACCACATTGCAACCTTGAATGAACGTCCAGATGACGTTGGAATTACGTTGTTTTGACATCTGCTTGCTTAGTGGGAACGACTGAAAACGAACGTCATATAAACGTCAATATTTTGGTCATATAAGACGTTGATAGGACGTCAGACCCGACCGGTTCCGTACCACATTCAAACCTTGAATTGACGTGCCATCAACGTAACATTTGGAGGTTGAGGTGACGTCGGGAAACGACGTCGAGAAAACTTTCATTCTGCACCCACCAGTGACCTATATTCTACGTCGGACAACGACGTTCAAATTACGTTGATTCAACGTCGGCTTGCTTAGTGGGTGAGTTTGGGAATGGCTGGTCTAACAAGTTATTACTAAAGGAAACGGCTAGTAACAAAGAGAGTTGGTGCTTAGAGTTGTACTGTCAGGCTGTTGGTTGGTGAGAAAAGTAGAAAATGGCCAATTTAAGGCTGAGAAATGGAGTGGTCATCTAATCCAAACAGATGCCTTTCTGTTGTGTGTTGTAGCTTCCACACTGCTGAGGAAGTGCTAAAAGAGTAAAAGAAGAAGACAATTCAACAGCTGGGTACCGCCTCAGTAATTCCCCACGGAGCTCAGGCAGACACATCCAGCCGCACACCATTCTCACTCCTGATTACAAAGTTTCAAATCAACCACTAACAGATTGAACAATCTACTTCTTTTGTTGAAGAACTCACAAAAGATTCAGCCATAGTTGTAAAAGAGCAACACAGCTAACCAAGGGGCTAGATACACTTTCCTTACAACGGCTCTGATCACGTTTGATTCAGACGTACATTTTTTTGGGAGGAACAAACAAAGGGTAAGATAACTGAGCGCAAGAGTCGACAGTGAGATTTATCCAGAACAATGGCAGCGGCTGGATGGGCAGATGAAATCATAGTAGAGAAATAATAGTAGTCAACACCTATACTGTATGCTCTCGTAAACAATATTTTCCGTGGTGATCCAACATGAAACTTTACGCACCATCTTCGGCGAGAATATTTCCTTTGTGTTTTCAGGTATTAGAATGTAGAACATATGGTAAATAATGCTGCCATATCTTTATACTAGTGTTGTTCAACCAGTGTTCCGTGGCAGATTTGTGAGATGTTGTTTGGAGTCCATCCATCCATCCATTTTCTTCCCGTTAATTCATTTCTGGGTCGGGGGGATGGGAGTCAGAGAGCACCAGCCCCTCACTGATCCTCCTGCAGGTGGTGATCTTTCAGCCTTGATCTTACAGCTGGGGCTTCAGGCAAAGTGGGGTTAAGTGTCTTGCCCAAGGACACAAGAATAGCAGACATCAGCGGGCCTCGTGAATTTGTTCTGGTGGTGGGCTCGAATCCGCAACCTTCAGGCTCAAAGGCCAATGCTCTACCAACTGAGCCACTGTTGTCTTGTTTGCTGCTCCTTTGAACATTATACAATATCACCTGATTGTTCAAAATATTGTGAAAAGAAAATACTGTGAGAAGATTCAAAAGATTTGTTTGTGCTTATTCGATTTTCAATATAAAACACTTTGATGAGATTGACTTTGCTTTGTTAATACAGGCTGCAAAGTTAAATAAACAAATAAATGACCAATACAATGACATCATCATATCACAGGCAAGACTGAGACAGGAGCTTTCAGACAAGAAGGGCAGAGTTACATGTTTGTTCTAGAAGTTTTCCATTAAAGAAACAGTTCCTGATGTGTTTGCTGTTGTAACTTTTTTCCATGTCAGTTTTGGAAAATAGGTTTCCAGTTATCCATAATTACTCTTTGACGTGTTTTTTCGTGGACCTCTTATCCTTTGTTCCTTTGCAGTGTTGACATCCAGACAAAATTAAATCGACCACAAGAAGATCCGTCTGCTGAATCGGTGCTACAAATACTCATCTGGCATCCGTCTCTGTCCATTTTTTATTGTGTTAGATTTAAATCTGAAAGATATAAGAATTCAACTACTATACATATTTCTTGCAAATTGGAGGTTATAGTGGAAATGGCAATGAGAAGATGGCAGTTCAGCAGATGAGGGATGTCTCATGAGTACGTATGAGGGGGTCCTGAAGAGTGCATCCTTTTTTACTTTTATGGGACTGGGTTTGGCACATGTGAGGTGAAGGACAGAGCTACTGGCCCTTCCATCACTCAGCACCATAAATGCACGCGGCCCGTTTACAAGTTAAGCTACGGCTGTTTTGGAATTCCACCGCTTTTATTCAAACGAATGACAGGGCCTTGCTACAGTTACCCACTGTGACATTATGAATATACATCTGAGGCATACATGAGGCGCACTAAATCAGGTAACCGGCAGCATTTGTTGTTTCAATGACACAAAGCGCGAGAGTGGGATACGAAGAGAGGGACACTGCAGTAGAGCTGGACAAACCAATTCAGATTTCAATCCGACAAAGACACAAAACGCCGCAGCTAAAGTCTAATGAAAAAAGACACGTCAACTGCCGCGAACGGGCGCCGCGACTGCCGCCTGCTGCCACTTCCAATCGGCCCTGTTCCACGTCACACTTAACAGACTTCTACACAGTGGAAACTACAATGGTGCCAGTAGGGCTGGGCGATATGGCAAAAAAAATAAATCTCCGATTTTTTCACACCAAATCCGATTTTCGATTTTAATCGATTTATTTTTTTCTATTTAAAAACAAACTACAACTGACAAAGAAATAGATTTTCCTTTATGCAGTTTAATCTAAATCCCCATGGAGCATAAGTGTAACAGGAATTAAGCCTTAAAACATGCTTGTAAACAAGATGGCTCTGCCATTGTAAACAGTGAAAATGTAGCTTAACAGTTTTATAATAACTTCACTTACAATGACACTATGCACCTTCAAAATAACTTAAATCACACAAACAAGGCCCATCGCAAAACTGATTACTCAAAATAGAAATGTTGTAACAGACAGTCTTTTCCAAAAGCCTCCTCGGGTTTTCATGCTTGTTCTTTCAACTGTGCCTGAGTAACTGTGCTGTAGTACAACGCTCGGTCCAGCTGGTGGCGCTAATACTAACTTCAGTGACTCCCGCATTGTGCGAGCTTCCTGTTTACATTCTGATGCTGTAGCTAACAGCTACTGTAGCTGCTACTGTAGCTAACAGCTACTGCGTGCGTGTGTGTGTGTGTTTTGGCGATTAAATAAAGTCTGATTCTTGAACGTTTGAAGTGTTATTGCAACAACACCAACTGTGAGAGCGAGCATCAGGCCAGAGGGAGACTGTTAGCATTAGGTTAGCTTCAAAATGACTGCTTAACACCATAGACCCGCGGTTAGCGCGTTAGCGCTGTAGTTCTGCGCTAGAGAAAATAAAAATCGATTTTTTAAAAAAAGAAATCGCCCTAAACGTAAAACTCGAATTAATGATTAAAATCGATTAATCGCCCAGCCCTAGGTGCCAGTGTATTCAAAGGTTGTAGTCACCTGATACGACGGATGATGGTTTTCTCCTCCTCCGTCTCATGTCTTCCGTACAAACTATTCTTGGGTTGTAGTTAATCGGCCTGTGAAAGAAAGAAAGGGTCATTAAAAGAGGGCCACCGTTTCCCATACGCACATTGCATGGTCTGAGGGCAAGGCACTTTTATTTGTATAGCAAATATAAACACATACAGTACATTGTTCATACACAAGGCAGCATTGATCTTGTACGATTGATCTTGTTTTGCTAAGCACGGGTGCTTAGCAAAACAAGATCAATCGTACAAGACAATGGTGTAGGTTTGGTTCCAATCTTGGTGGGGACATTCACTACGACCTGAGTCTACACCCATTGACACGGGGTCCAGAGTTTCTCCCCCAGAATTTGTTGTGTAATCACACACTATATTTGCAATAGTGTGTTGCCTTCTATACTAAACTCAGCTGTAGACTGAATGAGAAGCAGTTATGTATGTTAACAGAAGATTAATCATCACAATTCATAATTTGCTATTACTTGTGCTTTCTCTTACTTACTTTCCAACTGTTAAAAAAGCTCCTGATATCTTTTATCTTATTTGTGGAGGTGGCATTTTTTCTAAATTATATAAGAAGGTATAGACAATCAAAAACAGACATTCATATACATGAACTGCAGAATCATTTATATAACTTGGCCAATGTCAAAAGTTACATAGTATTTCTCAATACAATGAGTTAACAAGAGTTTGGCAATAAGTAACAGTGTGGATTTTTCTATATTTTCTTTTTTTTATTCCACTCTCTACCCAAAAAGGCAAGTAATGACTCACAGGGCTCTCAAGTATGCAAAATAAAAACTTAAATGACCTGTTGTGGTGTGTTTTGCGCACAACCAGCATGCATCGTTAACGCAATGGAAAATTTAGGTATCCGAGCTTTAATTTCGGGAGCGCTGGTTGCGCTTTGGGAAGAGTCAGGGGAGAGACATGTCAGAGACACAGGGGAGAAACGGGGGAGATACGAGGGAGACCCGCACTTGCAACATGGTTCTGTCTGCATATGGTCCGAGCTCGGTACCATGTTAGAGCGGTGCTTTCACTGAGCGCCGCGGCTGTCATTACAAAGCGGCAGCAGCTGCACCAGGACGTGCACATTCGAGTGCATCTCTTGAATGTGCTTAGAGCAAATAACAGCAAGTGCCCGCTGTCACACATTTCACAGAAATTACATTATCAGCAGATAAAGGTTGTAAATCGTGGATCCGTGGAATATTTTCATCCCTAGTTTATCCTGATTCACACAACACACCCACTTATACATTTTGGATAGTAAGAGCACAATAAGTACTTTTTCAGCCTTTCAACCAACCTGTTTCTTTATTGGAGCCAGTTCTGTTCTGTCTCTGTGCCGTGTGAGCTCCTCGGAACATTAAACAGTGTGCTGACAGATTAGAAATAACGTAAGTACTTTGAATGGTAATAGATCTACAGTACTTTCCTCTGATTACTCACGTGCTACAACGCTCAGGGAACGAAAAAAAACACTTGCTTCACGCTGGCTAACTTTTAAAAATTAAACAGTTGCTCAGTGCTTCAGTTTGGCGCTGAAGAAGACAGCCAATCACTGCAGAGAACGGAACGGGTCACGTGCTGCTGCTGCTGCTGTTGCTCTGGAGGCGAGGAGGAGGCGCGACGTATGCACAAACGGAAGACATGTGTCCCGGACCGTCCGGGTCCCGGGACATCATGTCATTTTGGTGGGGACTTTTTAGTCCTCACCAAATATTGGTGGGGACATGTCCCCATGGTCCCCACGCAAACCTACGCCCTTGGTACAAGACATTAGCATGAGAAATAATCACAGAGCATTAAAAAGAGGGAAAATACAATCCTTCAGTTGTATGCACAGCTAAACAGAACTAATTTTAACTTGGATTTAGACAGTGTCGTAGGCACCCGTTTTATATTTTCAGGAAGACGGTTCCAGATTTTAGCTGCATGCTTTCGAAGCTCTGCGTCCCCATGTAGAATCCTGACAATAGTCTTGGCACCAGCAGAAGGCTAGTCCCTGTGCTCCTCAGTGTCTGACTTGGTTCATATGGCACCAAAATGTCGTAGAATATGCACTTACAGGTGAAACTTGAAGGATTATAATTAGAAGTTATCAAGCCTTGATATAGGCAGTAAATGGATTTTGAACCATGTTTTAGATTTCAGACTTTCACCTGCAATGACGTTCTTTTACCTAAAACATGAGCTGTAAAAGCAGAGTTCCGGAGACACCCAGAGCTCCGCCATAAGCACCCCACCCCACACCACAATCTAGCCCATGTCTGCCGGCTTTAACAGCTGCATGTTCCTTGACCTCGCTTCCTATAAATCACCTGAGGACTGCGCAGGCTGTGGAGTCTCCGCTTTGAGCCAAGTCTCTATGTTGTATAATCAATAGATATAAAAATAAATGGCCTGAGTGTTATGCTCCCCATGCAACCCCTCTCTAATAAAACTCTAGTAATGCATATTTCATTTACTTTTATTCTTATTGATTAGCTGTAGTCCAGTTAGTAAATCAGGCGCCTATCGATCCCTCAATCGTAGTTCTGTCGGACAGCACATAACCAGCCATTTGCGCCACTGATAAAGAGCTCAAGCATTCAAGTCCTCACAGTAAATCTTTGCAAACTTACTTTTTAATTCTAAAATCAATGCCTGTTCGAATGTGGCATTATTTCACAGGGCACGCTTGCGGCATTAAACGTAATTCTCAGATGTATTTAGGCCAAATGTGTGACCGTCTGTACCATTAGCATAATGACAATCGAACATCAGCTGTCTTATTATCCATAAATATGTGTACACTAGTGTTGTCACGATACTTTAATTACAAACTCAATTATGATGCTGAGAAATAGGCTTTTACTATCAATTTCCTTGTGGTGATAATCTAAAAAAGATTGAGAAAATAAATTAAGTAATTCAAAACTCTTTTCAGTACTTGAAATTTCTGAAATGAGTACCTAGTTTGAATACTAGTTTTAGTATCAATAAATATCTAATACGAGTGTGCCGATTTTATTTTATTTCAGTTTTAATATATATATATATATATATTTGATTCATTTATTTCAAGAGGATTGATTTGTTGGATTTATTACATATATTTTTTATTTAATATTTTGTTTACTTCAATTAATTGAAGTTAAATTGCTATTAAATACAAATGCATCAATATATATATGCATCAATGTAAAAAATGGGGCAGAACGTTTCATAAGGGGAAAATTCATTTATCTTTTTAACTGAACTGTTTTCTATGTTTTGTATGGTATCTACAGTGTATGATATTTATTGTATCCAATTTTATTTATTTGAATCCAATCAAATTAAGTTTAAGTTTTATTGTTTATTTGATTATTTCATGTTCCGTTCCAATTGGGATTCAAACCAAAGACCTTCTTGCTGAGAAGCGAGAGTGCTGTCCACTCAATTGAAAGTCTCCAGCATCCGGAAACGTATTGTGTTGGCAGGCTCTGAAAGTTATCCAGCTATAATGAAAAATGTTTATACTTTTGACAACCCTTTTTATAACGTTTCAGGTTTTACATGATTTAGTGCAGATCACACAAGATTTAGTTTAGAGCTGCTACTTAATCAAGCAACTGCTTGGATGTAAATAATGATAATAAAATGTGCTCTCTTTTATTTTACAGTTATTATACGGCTCTTCATAGTAGAAGTAGAACGCTCCATTGATAAATAGAATGTAATTCCAAAACGTTCTACCAGCCATTATTTCTTCATAACAGACCTCTCAAACCGATAATGACTGCTGCCAATGGCATTGCAATTTGTGCTTGTAATTCACGTGTGACAGATCACTCCGCAAGTAGTCCGGCCACATTGTCAACAAGCTTTCAGCGACACTATCTCTGCGAGAGAAGCCGGGTAAATCGCTCCTGATGACCATACCGGTTTGCCCCGCATTCTATACATTATCCTTTTCATATTCAATGCCATATGAACCAACTCGGACTCTGAGGAGGAAAATATGAGACAGTCTTCTTCTCTGACATTGTTCAAATCCAGGTTAAACAGTTCTGTTAAGCTGTGAATACAACTGAAGGATTTTATCTTCACTATTTGTAACGTACTGTGATTATTTTAATGCCTTCTGTTTCTTTTCTTGTTTTGTTATTCACTTTGAGTTTCTTTGTGTATGAACTCAAATAAACTTGCTAAAGCCTTTATTTATCTGGCTTTTGTGAGCTTACTCTTTTCAAACTACTTGAACTGTGCGTTGCAACACTTTCTGCACTGTGGGACAAATCACTTGACGTGGAAGTGGTAAGCACAGATTCTGCAGCTTCTAAATCCCTACGGCCCCTAAAGGAGCTGAGGGAACACAGTGACACAGGGTCAATTATAATTTTGGCTGCCACATCCAAAAGCAAATATATCAATTAAAAATAGTGAATGAAAAAAGCAGTTTGGATACAGAGTTACAGAATATCCATCTGTTTTCATTAGGCTTCATGGCGCTCCAGGTGTGAGCAGGATCTCAAGATTAATAGAGGTATTTGAATGAATCAGAAAGGATTAGGGTCCGCAGGGAACACAATCGATACATCCAAATCAATAATCAATAGGCCACTCACACCAATATACTAACTGCTGACTCCGAGATCTCACAATTAAAATGAAAACTGCAAAGGGAGTGGCCTCGGAGTGTGATTTATATCTTGGCGCGAGTGTCACTTAGAAATAACTAAGTCGATAGATAAAAGCGTGGCGGTCGGCTCAGGTGGGGAGGCAGTTCTGCATTTTAACATAGCCGCTAGCTCAGAGCATCACCCTCAAATGTGCCCGAGCAAAGGGACTATCCGTGCGCAGATACAAAGATAAACAGCGCACGGCCTTTATCACTTACCATCAAATCTCTGATCTCGGCCGTCAACTGCTGCTAAACAGGAGATGACATCTTTTATAAATACAGTATCATTGCAGGCGGGCTGCCCTACAAGATTAATGCTTACAAGAGCTCCGGCGAGAAAACACTTTTCTCTCAAGGGTGTTGGAACACACAGGAGAAGTCAGATGCACTTGAGCAGAGATTTATCCAGCAAGCAAAGAAATGAAATAGATTTGAGAGGTGGCTTTTGACTGCTCATGTGTGCATTCTGTGCCACTCTGTAAATAAGTCAACATTAGCTTGAGTGGAGCACAAGGACTGAGAAGCCTTCTCACTGGAGACTGGATTTGGGCAGCTCAGGGAGAAAGATTCAGCTCATGCGGTCCGAAGGGACACATCAGAAGCCCTGCTCGTCAGCCCCCGCCTCTCCCTCAATCATTTGGGAGTATGATTTATACTTTTTGAAGTGAAGGGTCTTGAATCCTACTATAAAGGAATTAAGAGGTCTCCCCTGAGTCCAGCATTCAAATGAGAGCATGGCAGGGATATGAGGGCTTTTTAATAGAGAGAAATTAGTATTCACAATGCCTCAAACTGAATCTGAAGGAACCTTTCAGGTGGAGAAAAAAGGCCCAGTTTAGAAAGAAAGCCCTAAGAAGTCGGGGGCTTTTCATAACGTCGTGTATTTGCCCCTCATCAAGAGCGCACCAGGACTTTGTGGAATAACCCAAGAGAGACGATAGACAAAGTGTGAAACTAAATTAAGCATGCAATAAATACTGTAAAAGTGGAAACAATAAAATGTGGAGTCCCACTGTCTTGGGGCCAAAAGGGCTGTTTGGCTTCTCAGCGGCTCCACCAGCAGATCTAACACTTCCAGGGATGACTGCTAGCAATGCAACACTTTGACCAACGCTTTCTGAATAAACCTTTGTGTAGTGCCAAACATTGGGGAATAGAAATCTGCATTACAACTATGTAAACATATACTCTTCACTGGATCACAATGGTAACCTTGAAAACTCATGCCAGATAAGTTTTACGGCTGATGTCAAATGCCCATATTCTGCTAATCAGTCACATCAACAAGCCCATTCTAGCCTATAAGTGAGTGGAGCTTAGGCATATGGGGCTCTGAACAAGTGGTGGATAGTTATGTTTGAAAATGGCAAAGGTCGTACTGCATAACCCTTGTACTATCCTTGAAATTTACCCGCCACGATCCAAATGATCCAGTGAAATTTCAGCTAAAAAAATATTATTTAGGGTATTTTTTTAATCACTGTCTCTACCTTGGTCATGTGTTCGGGATGCAGAGCTATGAACCATCTTCAGACCTATCACCGGCTTGGTGATAGGTAATGTGTCATTTATCAGCTGATGTTACTTTCTGAGTAGGCGTGGTCAGTCTGAAAGACGGCCCCTCTTGCCCGGTGCTCTCTGGAGGAGGATGTCGCATGTGTAGGACAGGAGGAAAGTTCCGTTGTCCCGGTTGATATTGTCGCTTCCCCCGCTCTCTGATCTTGATGGCCTCCTCTATCCAGCCCTTGAGCTGTTGACCTTTGCCCCAACCCCGTCCATAATGTGACTATCTTTCCTGCTGTGGTCTCAAATGGCCCATTTTAGAAAAATGTTCTTTCTTTGTCCTTATGAGTTTTCCAGATGTTTTTTTTCCTATTCCTTATGTGGAAGGCGCATCCTTATTTTTGCATGATTGGCATTTTATTTCATAAATCATAAGCTTATATCTTTTTGGGTTCTGAAGATAGCTCTGTAGCCAAATAACTTTAAGTTCATTACATCTCCTTGCTAGTTTAGGGAAGTTCATCTTGTCTTCTTAGTAGGTATATTACTAGTAAATAGAAGTGCTGGATCTTCGGGGGATTTTTGTGGTACTGCACAGTAAACCAGACTAAATTCAAGTGGGCTACCCAGAAATTTTCCCCATAGAACTCAATGTAAACTAAAACTTCTCAACCTCAGCTGACAGAGAACCTACAGCTTCCATTAGGATTGGATTTAATGGGGATTTTAGTGTCCCTTGTCATCCACACACGCGTATTTTGCGCAACGCATCATGGGAGATCATCCACTGCGTAGAACATGGAGGACCGGACAATGCCCAAGGATAGCGAGTGACATGGCGAGTTCCGCTAATATGTCAGCGACCGTGCCGACACAAGCGCCACTGAGCACAAACCATTCATTTGAATACGGCGCCATCTTGGATAGCCAGGGCTTGATATACATACATTATGCACTTGCATTGACATTAATAGGGGAAAACACAACTACCATTTTTTAGACCATTTTCTTTTTATTCTCATTATAATCTTGGATAGGGACTTACCCTCTTTGATAGCGGTCTTCAGATACATGTCTCAGTCTTCTCACGAACATGGGTATTCGGCCTCCCTAAATTCATGAAAATTTGAACATATATTCCCTTAAAATATAGAATTGTGCGCTTTAACGGGTGGTCACCTTGGTTGGGATCCGTCTCCTTTGCTTAGTGATGGAGCAGGAAGCGGTGCCAGTGAGATGGGAACAATATCCTGTAAGTCAACATTTACAAGACATCACTGCAGATGGTGTGGATGTGGCTTTTTAATGTTCTATAGCAAGGTTCTTACAAGTTTCTTCAAGTATTTTCCATACCCTTTTAATAATTAACCCTTTTTATTAATTTATAAAATTAATAACCTCCCATGGCCTTTTCACAGTGATTTGTTTTTTATTGTTAATTTGCTTCTCAAGAAAATGTAAAACAAGTAGGATTTTTAGTGCTTCTGCTCGATTGTTGCTGGTGGTCTGTGTCGTAGTTCGGACAAGAGGCTTTGTTTTTGTTTTTTTATCACAATATTAGTGCCTGACAAATTAAACTTTTGAGGAGAATGTGATACATAGAAGTTACATACAGCACACATTTTCGGACCCAGAAATCTTTCTATGGTATTATTTCCAAACTAATAAATTCAGCGCTATCGCGACTCTTTAATATCCTATTAGGAACCTTTATAGTATTAATCAACCTTATATTGAAGAAGTTTGAACAATTATAGGAATGCTTTTTAGAAATAACCAAACATAATCTTAAAATAATGTCTCCATGTAGCTGATGTGCAAAACTCCAGATGGCTAATTCATGAGCTAATATTTTCTGCAAAAAAACAGTCAAAGCTGCACCCAGTCACAGAGCACCAGCCCCTCACTGATCCTCCTGCAGGTGGTGAGTCCACAGGAGCTGAGATCTTTCAGTGGGGGCTTCAGGCAAAGTGGGGTTAAGTGTCTTGCCCAAGGACACAACGACAGCCGTCATCAGTGGGAGTCGTGAAGTAGGTCTTGAGGTGGGCTTCACGACCTTCAGGCTCAGAGGCCAATGCTCTACCAACTGAGCTACTGTCGCCCCAAAAAACAAATATCATTCAAATTAAAAAATAAATCGCTTTTTTGCACAGTCCGCTCTCAGTGGACTTGTCACTGGTCCCATGAATATTAAGCTTAAATATTATGCACAGTTTATGAAGTTTGGTGAAAGAAATATTGATTTTGTTACTGTTTGTTATCAAAAACAAGTAATTTTTTTTTATAACAAAGTAGATTCAGAAATTGTGATCATGTTTTTTCCCAGGTGGCCCAGGCTTTTGGTGAAGTGTTGTTGCTCTACCTCTGCGAGAGGGCTGTGCTGGGTGCAGGAACGTGGCTGATGGGCTGGCTTCCTTCAGGGACTGCGGGTTTTCAGAGTCCCAGTTGGACCGAAGACTTGTTACGGCTGCTCTCACTCCACAGTCCGTCTCGACAAACCAGTCACTTTGTTCGTCATCACCTGAACAAAAAGCACAGTATACAGAGTGGATTGCGTTGAGACCATGTGACACATGGATCATACGTTTTTTTTAATTTTAAATATCATTAGAGTAAGCGAGTTGGAGTTAATCAATATTCATCAAAAAATGAATGCTGGAGTACCTCACCCCTCAAACCTCAAAATCTCAAAAACTTAACTAGGTTTGCTCTCAAAGTGTATCACTAGTTTTTGCATTTATGTTTTCCTTTTTGGGCCTCTGTCACATTTTAAAATCTTTTTTTTTTTTTTTTTTAAGTGAACCAGCCTTCAGATTCTGGAATGTAATCAAGTAAAATCAGTAAAAACCACCATAAAAAGCAGGGTTCTCACAGACAACGCGTAGTGACAACTGTTAAATCAGAACGCGCCTCTCTCCCCATGGCTTCAGTGCTCATTAACATGACATGACAACATCTTATTAGAGCCGCTTAGCTGCCCAACACCCCGCCACTGTCTCCACACTCCTGCCATGCGATTGTGTCCTCCCAGGAGACCTACCGTTACTATGGAAATAAATACTGATTATTCATAATGGTCTATACAGTATATAATATATATTTATATTCAAAGAGCATATTTTTGTTGTGTGAATTGCATGTGAATTCCATTTTAAAGTTTAAGTATAGAACTTTTACCTTGTCTGCCTTCATCATTGGTGAAGAGGCCAGGATCACTGCTACAGGTACTACTCGTTTCTCTGCAAAAGAGAAAAATATAATTTGAATTTTTTATCATTTAACAGTTTTGAAAAATATGCTTAAAATGGACAATGTCTGAGAAAGTACAAAGAAAGTTAAACAGACTGTGTAATGTCAATAGTTAGCATGCTCAATGATAGAAACAATTAAGTAGTCCAGAGCTGTAGGTCACCATAAATGAAAATGACACAAAAGAGCGTGCGATGTGCTCCCTTGTTGTGGTAGCAAACACAAAGGCATGAGGAGCAGGTCTGAGTGACATGCACAATCTAATTGAATATCCTCCGCTGTCAGCTCCAATCTAATCGGGCCTGTGTTGTGGAGGATGACAGAAGAGCCAAGTGCATTCCCCTGGTCCCCCGCCCTCTGGGTGAGCCCCATTCTAGGGGGGCTCTGCTTCACTACTGGCCAACATCTGCCGTGGCTGCGGCGGCCTGGCCGGCCCCTCTGTTCCTCAGCCCACCCCGGGGTGACTGAATGCTGCTAAGGCTTTCTCACACCTCAGCCATCAAGACGCTTTGACCTCTGGACACTTCAAGGTCACTGGAATGTGGAGGGAATCCGAGTCCTAGCTGTAGTGTTGATGACTATTATCAATATTAGCATTAGTAACTTCACATGCTTTACATCAATGTCACTAAATGCCCTCTCTGATCCTACAGTAAGGAGCCATTTGACTGCCTTGCATTTCGCGCTTGGTTTGTCATCATTGACCTTGCTAATAGGGTAGGCTCCAGGGTCAGATATGTGCTGATACCATATTTTGCCATATTGCAGAAGCATGCCAGTGACATTAGAGAAATGTCCGTTAGGACATATGGTCAGGCAACATCCGCCCACACATCCACCAGAAGCAGATGTGATGGAGTGGGCCTCTCTGGAGAATAAGGAGAAGTCTGTCCATATCTTTACAGTCCCTGTCCTTAGGCCTTTTCCTTGAGCCTGGTGTCCAAGACAGTACAACAATGCTTGATTAAAATGTATGCTTATATTGAAAACAAAAGAAAATTACAGCTTTAATAAACTATAATTTTGGAGCAGCATTTCACTACGTAACGGCTACATATAATTGTTTAAATAAAAACATCAAATTCACTACTTACTTTTGTAAAATATATAGACAGTTATTATATTACTAACAAGTCATAAGGTCTGCTCGTCATATCCCCAAAATAGTTCTTAAATTACACAACAGAAATAGTATCTATGAAAAAAAGTCAAGGGCAAAAGGAAAAGTGCATAGTTGTGTTTAGGGGCTGAGCCCGGCCCCCCATGTGGCCCTTGTGCTTCAATACAAGCCAAGGAGGTGAAGCCAAACACAGTATCCAGATGAGCAAGTAATCATTAGGATATAATCCAAGCCTCCTGGGAGAGGCACAGGCAGTTTGCTCACAGATTACAGGCTCGCCATCATTTATTGAGCTCAAGCTCATTCTGCTGAGAGAAAAAGATGAAGCTGTGACAGAGGGGGGCAAAGTGCTGATAAAGGTTCTGTAGCTTCTTCAAACAAGCTGTCCCAACCCAAATCCATTCCTTTTTTACGCTGTCTGATTATAAGGTTATCCCTTCTTTTATTAGACGCTGTAATTGGATTAGTCTCGAAGATTTAGTAAAATTAACTTTGCCACTAGTACAGTGTTTTGCCAAAAAACTCCTAATAGAATGCTCTTGTTGTGAACCACAAGCACAACACTAGGTTGTGGAAAGCTGAAGTCCAGGAGCAGCAGGAGCCCACAGCAGGGTCTCTGCCGATCCTTGGATAGTTTACCCACAGGTGAGGGCAGACGCAGGCCAGCCCAACTGCCAGGTGGCACCAGTGCCAGTAGGCTGAACTCTAGTTTAATGAAGTATGTGGAGCCCAACTGGAGACACCAACATCTGCTCCTTTCATTCCCCAGCCTCAGTGAGGGAGCTGAAGGGCCAGGGCCAGTGTGTGCGGACGAGGAGTGACCTTGAGGAAAGACCAGACACTCTCTAGGAAAAAGGTTAATAGAATGACTGGCAACTAAACAAATCCACTCAGTTTAAAGAACATTTCCACAATAGCATCAGAGGCTGACAGTAAATGAACCATGCACTCTCAGGGTAAAAATATTGCTCTTGTACCACTGTCAACCCCTCATCCACACTACCATTTTGTCATCTGGCACGACCAGCCAGGACTTAACCATTAGATTGTGGAGCCCTCAGTACAGTGTGGCAGTATACTGAGCAGCAATCAAGAGTGTTGGTGTGCTGTAAGTGAGAAATGATTGACAGTGGGCCATGGTGTTCCCATTTATTTCTGCTCTGGAGCTGTTTTCTGTCACAACGGCTATTGATTTTTCCATAAAGTAAGAAAACAAGTACAGTTAAGGGGCTAGGGAGGTCAGCACAAATTAAACGTCAAGATGTAAAGCTTTCGGTCCAGACCATCTCCAGCTATCAAAAATAATCTACTTGCATTTGTTACACTGTCACAGTATGGCTCACTACAGACAACCTGCAGTTACCTCATCTTAAAAATACTGTTGGTTTAAACTTGACCTTTGTCTTTAGAACTTTTCTGTTTCACCATAATGTCTCTCTTGTGCTCTCAGAGCAGTCAATTTGACAGCTTTTAGTTTACTTTAAGCTTATCATTAAGTTTATTTCTATGTCATTTTTTTTTTTTTTTTTTTTTTTTAAATATCCATTATGTGTAGCTCTGGACTGGTCTTGGACTGGTTCTGCACTGGTTCTGGTTCTGAGCTAGCCTGGTTGTACCACACCTTAGTACAAATTACATTTCATACTAAGGTCTGGATTAACTCCATTGAGCTCCGTGAACAGGTGGGAGGGGTTAACTCCTTTTGCAGATTGAAACGATTGGATCTGAGTTTACGTATGTAGTGCGCCCGAGTGTGTTGTTAGCATTTAGCATTTAGCCTAGCCATCTCCTTTGGTGTTAACGGAGCGCGTGGGGAGTAGTGCCACAATCTTGACCAGCGATTACATTTGCTAAACATTCCTCTTGCTCCTGCTTCATATTCTTGATAGAACCAGACCGGATTACTTTACTATCACATTCTTCGCCATTGCCAAACTACAACATGCCCTTTCGGCGCAAACTCTTGACGTCACCGGCACCGACCTACAACACCCGCCTTCCGCGCTCTCTGAGTAGCCGGTCGAAATACGACCGATTGTATTCGCTAACACAGGGACCAGACCCAGACGGTCACATGCAGTGAAATGATGATTGAGCAGAGTGTACGGATGGCTATGGCCAGGCTAGTTCTGAGCCAAGTCGACTTGATTTTTACACACTGTTTACTTGCAGCAGTTAGCATGAGCCTTTTAACAAATGTTAGCACTTAGTATAAGAACCTTTGACCTATTTTTAATAAATCTTGGATTTATTGTGGAAATTAAATAAATCTGTGGAAATTAAAAACATTACATTTTTGGGGGAATCTCTCAGAATTCCATTGGTTTGAATTGGAGCAGTCAAAATGATGGCTCTGGTACTGCTAGTGTTTACAAATTCAATGATCTTAAACAAAAAGCCTTTCCTCCCTGCTGGTTACAAATCTATTTGCGTAGGCCAAATAAAGTCCACTCCAGACAGTGTGCATAGGGACACTGGGATATACGCAGCTTTAATTACTGACCCAAGACAGGAATTTATTTCAAAACAAATCAATACAGCACCAACTCACTTATTTACTTGTGACTCTATTTCTTGAAAAGCAATAATGAGCTCGCAAATGGCTGCAGGCATAACTATCAAAGACCCCTCCCCAGTGATTATTCCTGCGACAGGAGACGAGGCTGAGGAGAGTCTATCATTCATGTTTAATGTCGGGCCAGTGCTTTAAAGTGGAGCTCCATGATTTCAGTTTAGTCGAGGACACGTTGAATATTGACAACTGGAGAAGACAGGCATATAGATCATCTTAAATGTCGTCTTATTTAACTGCTTTTATCTGAAAGTTGTAAGGCCTGTGACTTTTATGTTATGGATTTGAGTGTCTTTTGTCCATCTCCATTCAAAGGGTAAAAAACGCTGTCAGAATGTTGAGCACATCTTTCACAATAGATTTAATCTTGACTTGGCATAGTTAACATTTGGCTTGTACAAAACTGTATATTAAGTTGCAAGTTTCTACTATGTGTAATGCATGAGAACAAGTGAGCAAAGTTCTCCAATTCAATGGAATATGACCTATTTTGTGCAAAATACAAGACATACCCATCTGACATCTTCTCCTCTGCTCCATCCTGGTGCTCAGTGGCCCGTGAGAGCTTCCTCTTCCAGCACTCCTGTCCCAGGAGTCGGGCTCCTTCAGTCGGTTGCTCTGTCCTCAGCCACGCACTAGACCTGTTCTTCGATCCAGACAGATGCATCCTTAGCGGCGGTCTGTGGTCCACATTAGGAGCCCTCAGCTTGAGCTGTGTGCGGGAGCTGACATCAGAGGTCATTCGTTTGATCTTCCTCTTCCTCCTGAGCGGCCTTGCTGGGGTGTTCTCAGTGTAGGAGTTGTAGTGGGGCCACGAGGCGGTCCGGCTTCTGGCAGGACGTCTCCTCATCCTGTGCCATCGCCCGCTTGTACTGCGCTCATCCGAGTCACTGCAGTTTGCCACAGCAGCAGGGCTCCTCCTGTAGCCTCTGGAGGCTTCATCCATGCTGGACTCGGAGGCCTCGAGCCAGTAGTGGTACATGGAGGAGTCCCGGTGCCGGCGGTGTGCCCTGCGCCGCCGTACCTGCCTGCGCTGCTGCAGAGGACTGAGCACCATCTCCTGCCACAGTTCTCCCAGTTTACTCTGCTCTGAGGACTGCTCTAGAGCCTCCACGAGGTCCTGCACCAGCTCATCCATCCTGGCTGCATAAAACAACATACACTTCTATGACTGCTTCATAACAAACAGCTGGATGAACACATGGCACATATACGTGTTGGCTTTCTCTTTCTATGTAGACAATACAGCTGATCATAACGTACTGTGGACGGTGGTCTTCACAGATTTCAATTGGGACAAACGCAAGAAACAATAGGGGTTAGATTTTTTAGATCACGGTATCAATCTTGTTTGGACTAGTTTAATATATTTGGTTGTGCCTCTTGAAATGACGCATATATTTACATGCAACGGTCTGTAACCTCGCACTCTCTGTTGTTGAAAATAAACACCAGGTCAATTGTGCCCAGCATTCTTACCGATGCCTCGGATCTATTTTCCTTCAGTACCGAGCTTAATCGTGCAGAGAGCCCACTGTTGTGAATATACTACTTCTACAGTACATGCTAATACTAATAGCATTGTTTCTCACGGAGCTCAAAGCAGCTACAAAGGACCTACAGAGCGGTTCCACCTCCACTGCGACAAAAGGGAAAGCCTAAATGGCAGAAGCTAAAGCGAGCTGCTGTGTTTTGTGTTACATAACATCACACACGTGAGGACGGCGTCAGGGCGGGTCGCCTGAATCCTGAGGACACTACACAAACAGAAGGTGTACATTCTTCTAAAAGAACGCAATACACACAGACACACAGACACACAAACGAACACAGCGCCAATGGCCAAAGCCAGCACTCACCATCCGCCCGTCTTGTTTTGTTTTTCACCAGCGTTGACATACGACACCTACTTCCGCGTTGTGTTCGAGCCAATCAGAGCACTGCCTGTCGATGACGCATCTATCAGAGGACTGCGCGTCTGTTCTGCATTTGATAAGGATTAATATCAAATAAAGGTTATTAATATTCTTGATATTTTTACATTCACAGGCAGCATACAAGCATTATACGCATTTGTTTACAGTTACACATAATTATTTGTAGCTCAGAGAATAGGCTTTAAAGCAGTTTTGCTTGAGTAAATGTTTTTCTATGGCCTTGCAAATCCGTGACATGTTGGTGTCATATGCACCAGCTAGGACTCTGAGGAGCACAAGGTCTGACCTCCTGTTGGGAATCTGAGGAGCACAGTGACTGTTCTCCTGCTGGGAATCTAAGGAGCACAGGGAATGCCCTCCTGCTGTGCCAGAGTCAGGACTAAACATGGAATGGCAATGTTTCAGATTTATGCAGGCAAAATCTGGAACAATGTTCAAATCAAGGCAAACAACAGTTCTGTTTAGCTGTGCATGCATGAACGATTTTATCTTTACAACTTTGTTATGTATTTGCAAATGGAAAATCAAATTAATATGATCTGATTGTTTCATTCTTGATTGCTAATTGGGAAAATTTTGTTTTCTTTGAATTATTAAATTAATCTAAATATTGTATGTTAAAGCTGCGAGTTAATGTTAATAAGAATTGTATTTTCTTGATCTTGTGACCTCAATGATGAAGCACTTATGTATTGCACACAGAGCAGATGGAACAGCCTGCAGTGATGCACTTGTCACTATACATGTATATCTGTTTGTGCTGGTGTTAGTGACGTATGAACTAACTCAAGGGAACTGGCCTCTTGCTGGTGCCCAAAGTCAGGACTTAACATGGGGATGCAATGTTTCAGATTTACACAGCCACAATCTGGTACAGTCTTACTGAATATGTGAGACAGACTTCTACTCTGACAATGTACAAATCCAGAACTGTTTTTGTTCCGTTTAGCTGAAGTGCATACAACAGAAAGGTTCTATCTTCACTTTTTTTTTATATACCGGGATTATTTTTTTTATTTTTATTTTTCTATCTTGTTATGTTAAGCACTTTGAATTGCCTTGTGCGTGAACCGTGCCATACAAATAAACGTGCCATTTCTTGCCTACTTCCCAGATTCATGTAGTCTATTTACAACCTGTGGTTTGAGTTGAATCCATCCCTTTATCCAGTTCGGTTTAACGTCACTCAACTGTCTCAAAGTCGGTTGTTGCATAAAAAAAGCATATTTAAACTAATTTACAACTTCTTTCATGTGTCCAAAGAAGTCAGTTCAAATAATAATAAAAAAGAGTCTGTAAAAGCGATTATAAAAGCCATATAATCTTTCATCTTACTCTTAATAACTGCAAATTCCCCCCTGGGCCCGTGGGAGCAGGCCTCTCAGTGCAGCTGCCACCTTATCTGAGGAGTCCACATTTGAGAGAGCCCCCCCCCCGGCCGTCTCAGGCTGAGGCCTGTAGGGAGGCAGCGCTCTGGGGCTGGCTATTGTTCCGGCCTGGGAGGCTGTCCGCGGAGAGCTCTACAAGCCGGAGAGCGGAAAGACTGGGAATAAAAAACTTTAGCCACCGCTTCATTATGAGTCTGCCTTTCACAAGCAAACATATCAAAAACGGCCCCCTTTCAGCAGCAGTAATTAGCAATTTAGAAGCCCTGGCCCCTCAGGATATACACTTTCAATTTAGTCAGCAGCTTTAGTTTCTGAGGCACTTAATATTCATTGTTTCTTCCTTCTTCCCAATTTCTCAACGTACATTGTCTGGTCTTTCACTGGCGATAAAAGTTTTATCTATTCATGTAATTCTTCTTTTCAAGGAAGCCCTCAGCAAGAGAAGTCAATTTTTTATAAATAATTTTCTATGGGATTTGGAAAGACTGAAATTGATATGATAGCAAATGCGCTCCAGGAAGTGCTAAGCTGAATAACATATTGAGCTTTACCCGGTGGAGAAGGCCCGTCTGTAAATAGTCTATTTGAAGAAAAAGGTCTATTGTTATAAAGTGGATGATTAGAAATATGTTAGGATCATATCAAATGAAATCAAATGAATTGTTTTAGTTTTGGTATGTAAACTGTTTTCATAACTACTTTATAAGCTGAGGCACATATACCTCAGGGGCCAAGAGTGACACTTATCTCTGCTACTGTGGGGCCATTGTCTCAAAATGAATCCGCTTCTATTCATTTTCAATCAGCATTGTGTAATAGAAATAATTGATTTTTGCTTCCTCCGTACAAATGGAAAAACTGTGATTAAACATTTTGTCTGTAAATCTGAATTCTGAGATCTCATCGACGTTAGAGCAAAAGAGGCAACTCATTAAAGTGAAAAAGAAAAGGCTATGATGGGAAAAGTGGCCAGGAATGGAATAATGAATGGAGTCCGAGTGAGCTATCTCTCCCCGGCAGAGCGCCACTAGGGATGCAAACTCCCAGCACCAGAAATGAGCTACCTATCTGAAAGAGTGACTGCTCCATCCTATTTGATTTGGCTCCACTATCGTCTCTTAAGAAGATGTCAGCCTTGCTTCTTCTATTGCTCTGAGCTTTTATCAACCGCAGACCATTTCCTGCAAAAAAAGTAAGAAGAGAGGGAGAGGCAGAACGGCTTTCAGAGAGCAACACTGAAGAATAAGTGTTATGTGATAAAAAGAGCTTGTTTAATAGATCTGTCTATTTGTATGGTAATAATGATCGCTTAAAGACCCACTGCTCCGTGACACGTAGAACAAGGAAATAATTCTGTATTCAGGTGTTGTGCTCGCGGCGCTCGGCTGATGACCTTGGGAAACTTTCAAACAGGAAAAATGAGTCGGATTTGGGAGGATTTTAACCACTGTTGTGTTTTGTGTCATGGGCTTTATCTCATTGAGAAATCCCTTCTTTGAAAAATTTAGCACTTTAAGCGGGACGTGTGTATAGTCTGGATTAAGCCGTAAATATGACAGATGGGAGATCCACTGTTTTGGCAGGAATTATATAGTATTATTTATTATAAAGCTGGATGGTTATCAAGCCTGTAACCATCTGTAAATGAGTGGTGATGCCGTCTGTGATGATCAGAATCAGAATAATAGTTATTGCATTAATTCCATTTCATTGTAAGTATCAGGAAGTGACTAACTGGGATTTTGCTTTGGCTCAAGGTGCAAGGTGATCCCTGCTGCCTCTGAATTGATATATACTTTTGTGTTTATGTTATTATATCTCATCTGTAAAAATTGAAATACTTTACCTACGTTACTGAACATGTATGTATATTTTATGCTGTGTAGGGATTATAGTTGGAAACTAGCTGTAAGCTGATACTGGCACATTCACAGTCATTTTGATTCATGCGCACTATTCCTATTCAAAGAAACTAATTGAATATAATGCGCATTTATAATCCACACATGTTGACTGCTTTGTTTGGGCCCCACAGTGTTTCCGTATTGAATTGTGGCCATGCCTGCTTGTCAGAGCCTGATTTCAGGAGCTAAAATGTGGGGTTTGTACTTTGAACTGCTGTTTGTAAGAGTAGAAAAGTAGCAAAAACTTATTCTATTTTATATTTGATCATTTTTTGTAGTGTAGTAGAGAGAATATTTCATATAATACATTATTTTACCTACAACTCTCTCTCATATCGAAATTCTCTTTCATTGCGTCCATTGAGTCCTGGATCTATAGCCTGTCCGTCTGAGGGAGTGGATCTGGAAGTGGTCTCCCCGAGGTTTCTTTGTTTGTCCCCTCTGGGGTTATTCTTTGCCAATGCAGAAGGACATTTGGTGATGATCCAGGATATTTAGAAACATTTATGGTTTTCCCGCTCCCTACGGACCAGTGGCTCCTATGTGTCCAATAGGTCTGGCATGCGCCTCCTGTGGCGACCCTGCTCCCATCTCTGTGTGGAGTGAGAGGACAAGTGCCCAAAAATAACAATTGTAAACCGCTTTGTGACTCTGGTCTGTGAAAGGCGGTATATAAATAAAGCTTACTTACTTACTTACTTACTTATTTTGCATTTCCTTAGTTCAAACTGTTTGAGTTTCTGAGCTGTTGTTGGCAAATCAACAACTTTGTAAAGTCCCTTCGAGACGACTGCTGCTGTGATTTAGGGTTATCCCCTTGCAGTGCTGGTCCAGACGGCATCGAGACCAAGTTCATCAAGCTTGCATCTCATGTTCTTTGTTTTCCTTTGGCAGATCTCTTTAATTTATCTTTTCAAACATGTGAAGTTCCCTAGGGCGGCACGGTGGCTGAGTGGATAGCACTCTCGCCTCTCAGCAAGAAGGTCCTGGGTTCGAATCCCGGCCGGACCAGGGCCTTTCTGAGTGGAGTTTGCATGTTCTCCCCGTGTCTGCGTAGGTTTCCTCCGGGTACTCCGGTTTCCCCTACCACTAAAAATATGTACAATAGGTCTGGCATGCGCCTCCTGTTCGGCGACCCCGCTCCCATCTCTGTGTGGAGTGAGAGACAAGTGCCCAAAAAATAACAATTGTAAACCGCTTTGTGACTCTGGTCTGTGAAAGGCGGTATATAAATAAAGCTTACTTACTTACTTACTCCGCCTGGAAATGTGCAAAGGTCATCCCCATCCACAAAGGTGGTGACTCAAATAATATAAATAACTACAGACCCATCTCTATCATCAATAGTATTGTCAAAGTATATGAAAAAATTGTGTTTAATCAACTGTCTCAATATCTATCAACCAATAATCTCCTCTCTCCATTTCAATCTGGATTTAGAAAACATTTTTCAACCACATCTGCATTATTAAAATTCACAAATGATATTTTTTCTGGTTTTGACAATAACCTGCTCACTGGTGCTTTATTTATTGATTTAACAAAAGCTTTTGATATGGTCGATCACTATCTCCTTTTAGACAAACTCCACTCAGTCGGTCTGGACAGGTCCTCACTTCTCTGGTTCAACTCCTACCTTCATCACAGACAGCAATGTGTCTTTTACAAAG